ATTCGTTTTTGTTAATATAAAAACATAAAAAGCTACCAATATGAGAAATTAAACCCTGCGAGGCACCAGTCTAGAACTGGCACTTCGCAGGGTTGAATTTCTCTTGACAAAATACAATAATCAAATGCTCCAAAGTTTTCAAATTTTTATTAGGAATAGGAGCCTACAAAGCACTGATTATATATCAGTGCCTGGTAGGCTCATATTCCTTCTCTAAATGGGAGAAACTTTGTTTGAATAAGATAACATGCGAACAAAGTTTCTCCCATTTAGAGTGGGATTTGGAGGGTGGGAGGTACATAGATAGACTATGTATCTCTCACCCTCCAATTCCCTCGGGAAAGTTCGAAAACTCGGTCGCAATCAGATTCAATTGCGACTGAGTTTTCGAACTTTCTATTAGGAATAGGAGCCTACAAAGCACTGATTATATATCAGTGCCTGGTAGGCTCCTATTCCTTCTCTGAAGCTGGGAAATTTTGTCTGAATAGTTTAACATTTGGACAAAATTTCCCAGCTTCAGAGAAGGAATTGGAGGGTGAGAGGCATATAGTCATACTATATACCTCTCACCCTTCAATTCCCTCGGGAAAGTTCGAAAACTCGGTCGCAATCAGATGCAATTGCGACCGAGTTTTCGAACTTTCTATTAGGAATAGGAGCCTACAAAGCACTGATTATATATCAGTGCCTGGTAGGCTCATATTCCTTCTCTAAATGGGAGAAACTTTGTTTGAATAAGATAACATGCGAACAAAGTTTCTCCCATTTAGAGTGGGATTTGGAGGGTGGGAGGTACATAGATAGACTATGTATCTCTCACCCTCCAATTCCCTCGGGAAAGTTCGAAAACTTTGGTGCAATCAGCAACGATTGCACCAAAGTTTTTGCGTTTAATTGAAGGAATTGCTCTTTATGATATATACAGTTACAATGCATATATCATAAGGAGCAATTCCTTCCAGATATCTGGCAAACTTGCTCGCAATGGTTCACAGTTGCGAACAAGTTTTGTCATTTGTCAAGAGAAATTCAACCCTGCGAAGTGCCAGTTCTAGACTGGTGCCTCGCAGGGTTTAATTTCTCATATTGGTAGCTTTTTATGTTTTTATATTAACAAAAACGAATGAAAAAGATTTGCTTATATAAGAGGAAACTCTCTATCAGAGGTGCTGAATTCAGGCATTCGCATCTGATAGAGAGTCTCCTTTTATATAAGCGAATATAAAAGAATCTATTCTTTTTTGGAGCGTATTTTCAAATATTGAATACTTATGAAAAGTGTTTTTTTCTAAAAATCTCAGAATATATTTACAATAGTAAAATAAATAAGATATTTAAATTTATTTTTAAATGCTTTTTTTAATATGAGATTCTCAAAAGTTATATCAAAAGTCTGTTTTTTCTAAAATCTAATATCATAATCTATTTCTCATTTTAAGTACATCTTAATTCATTTTATTTTCTATATTTTTTCAATATTTTTGAGGGAATTGTGTTGCTTCCCCGACGATAAAATTGAGAGGTTTACACATTGACACTACTTAGCATGCAACAAAACAAGATTTGTTATAGGGAATTCTAACCATTATACTATGCACTTATGGACTCCAAAATTAATTTTCAAGTATTTGATCGCGCCCCCAAGGGCTGATTTTTTGTGAATGTTAAGGGTGCACACGAGAGGATCATGTAAACTTCAGAATTTAGAACCTTATTTTTAGGCATTATCTTGGCTACCTATTTAGGCTCGAAAAGCAAAAAATATCAAAAAATACAACTTGACTCCATTATGACCCTTTCATGGAGGTAGTTTTTATCCGCTAGTATTTTCCCTTTGAATCTCTTTACAATTCGAAATCAAATTCAAACCTCAGTAGAAGAAAGGAAGAATCGACTTACTACGGTTGTAATACGAATAAATACATATATTTAATTATTTTTATTTACATAATAATTGTTTGAAGCTCATATTCCAACAAATTTTTAAATAAAAACATTAAAATGTTGAAAATGTTCATATATTTTAATAGGTTTTTGGCACTTTATTGAGGAATTACTACATACATAGTCGAACTGAACTTGATATTTTGAAATTTAAATTATTTATCAAAATTAAAATTTAACTTGAAATTTATAATTATTTAGTCATATTTTGCATAATTCTAAGTAGATTTTGTAAAAAATCAAGAAAGAAAAAAATTAAAGTGCTTTATTTTTTCTTTTTTATAATAATACATATTATTATATAATTAACATATTCATAATGTTTCACCCTTTCAAAAATATAATCCTCCTCCTCTCAAATAAACGTACATACGGGTGGCCTCTTTTTTCAAAAAATTAAAATTTGAAATTTTGGGCTCAAATATTAGAGATTTTTTCAACCTTCAACGATATATGTTGTCTATATCAGACCTCCTTTCTTTTTGATACTTAACATTGTTCCTAAATCTTAGCCGTTAAGGCTGTTCTGAAAATATTTTTTTTTCGAAAAAATTCGAAAAAAATTCTTAAAATTCAAAAATCCCTTAATTCCTGAGGATTTTGGAAAAAAGTTTTTACATGAACATGTGTATATTATATGAAGTATATTGATAAGGTAAAAATCAAATTTTATTGCATATTCATCGAGAAAATAAACTAACGAATCCCTCAAAATTGAGAGGGTAATCCTCCTCCTCTCAAATAAACGTACATACGGGTGCACCCTTAAGAAACAGTGTGAACTACTATTATTTTCTATCCGTTGACTCGCATGATTTATTTACAAAAGTTCTTGATTTTCGAATTTATTAGTATTTTGAGATTATATTGCTTATACTAATAAAAAATCAGTAAAATACAATCTTCATATATTTTAAAATATTATCTATTTCATATCAACCCTTGATTGAAGATAATAGAAATCAAGAAATTTTCTAGATCATTCAAATCAAAAACTGAACTCATCATTACAATTTTGATATTATATAAATAATATATTAATATTTCTAAATGCCAAATTCCAGTTTTTGTTGGAAATTGGCAATCTACTTTTCAGATTTTGGAAACTTTTGTTTCTCTGGAATCCCTGTCTTATAAGGGACATTTCATTTTTTTATGCGCGTGGATGGGTTTTGAGAAATTGTATCTTTCATAAAAATGAAAAAGAATATGATAATTAGTTTCTCCTAATATTGCGATTAGTCATGCTGCAATTAGATTTTAAAATTTTTTCTCACCGATGTAAATATGTCAATTTTTTCCAAAATAGATTTTGGACGAAAAAAACCAAGTTTTTTCAAATTAGTTATTTATTCAATTTGAGTGCTACCAATAGATCCCTCTCATCATGTAGATGATGAATCAGGTGTCTGTTCATTCCAAAACCAAACATATGAGGCTACAAGTGTGCTTTTAGGCAAAATCTTAATTGAATGCCCTCTCAAAATTGAATGTATGAACGTGGAGCTTTAATGGATTTAGTTTTTAATAATGGTCAACTCCAATTTGCTGACGGGTTCAGATGTCGATCTAATGATAAATTTTAGAATGCACACGAAAACAATAAAATCTCTTTGAGCCATTTTGGTTATCGGCTACCTCCAATTCTCACAAATGAGTACGATATAATTTACAAATCCCCTCAAAACTCAAATTGAACCCGCCAGAAAATTTGAATTCTCCCAATTTGAAAACGTTCATGAAAAAAAAAGATAAAAAAGCTCGGTCACCGGGAATCGAACCCGGATCAAAAGAACGACAATCTTACATGATAACCATTACACTATGACCGATTCACGTAAAGATATTTTAAGATATATTTTTAATATAACTTTGGATTTTTCATATCTATTTGTTACATATTTTAACAATAGATAAATCAAATATCTCAAATAAAATGTCTGTAATAATAATTTCAAATTGCTAGTATGTGCATGAATCTCTTCATTATCTATGGGCAGAAGTATTTATCATTGTGTATCAATGTAAAAAGTTTAATTACTCATCGATGGTTTATTATTATTTCAAAATAAAACTCTTAAAAATGACGATTATTTTTAATTGAAAATTGTGGTGAATTGAATAAAAGAATAGAAAAGGTAATAAAAATTAATAAAGTTCGATTTTAAATTTGTTTGGTTCAATACTGTATGATTTCCGTATGGAATTAACTCTCAGATGAATGAATCCTCCATGAAATACTCTTACTATTCATGGAGGATTCATTCATCTGAGAGTTAATTCCATACGGAAATCATACAGTATTGAACCAAACAAATTTAAAATCGAACTTTATTAATTTTTATTACCTTTTCTATTCTTTTATTCAATTCACCACAATTTTCAATTAAAAATAATCGTCATTTTTAAGAGTTTTATTTTGAAATAATAATAAACCATCGATGAGTAATTAAACTTTTTACATTGATACACAATGATAAATACTTCTGCCCATAGATAATGAAGAGATTCATGCACATACTAGCAATTTGAAATTATTATTACAGACATTTTATTTGAGATATTTGATTTTTCACCTAAAAATATCGAACCCAGCATAATCCTAAAATTATTAATCTCAAATATCAAAAGATTTGAACTTTACCAAATTATCGAATAAAATGATAGATATTTTCAAATATATCTTGCATAAACATGAACATAGAATTTCTGATATCTTTTTGCATTATGATATATCGATATCCGAATTTCCTTAAACATTTAGTATATCCCGTAAATCTTTTAAGATATGATAAGCGATATCGCTAGCTAGAATTTTCAAATCGTCATTTCTTAAAATTCTCTTAAAATCTAAGCCCTGAATATTATTTACAGGCATGAAATCAAAATAACGTACTGATTATCCCTTCATTTTGATACTGTTTACAACCTAATCAATGTAAATACATAATATTGTCTTACTTTTGTTCATTATTTATCTAATTTTAATTGCCTTCAAATACAAAAGAACAACAATCGTATCGAAGACAGAGACATATATACTTACCATTTTCATGTCATTTGTACCTTTTCTGTTTATTCCTATATCCATTCAATTTGCAGGCCAAATTTTCTCAGCTTTAGTTGAAAAGGTTTATGCTTCATCATTGAACACAATTATTCCAATCATTCTTACAGCAATCAATGTCTTTATTTACACATACATAATTAAGAATTGCTACACAATGACACTTTCATTCAGATGCGTTTCGTATCAGACATTAGAAGGAGCAGCACAATGTAAACTCTTCAATACAACTAATATTGTCACCTTTTTCTCGTCATTGACATCTTATCTGTCACAATACCCATCTACAACATTTATGATAGTATCGATGTTATGCTATCTGTATAATTGCACTACATTCTTCAATTGTGGTACTTTTCTTTCAATCAGAGACCAAACATTAATCTTAGGCGGGTCAATTCTTGGATTTCTTGTTTCAGCTGCGAGCCTCTATCCAATTTTACATGTTGATGAATGGGGAGATTACTTCTTTGCTGCTTTTGCTGGATTAGCAATAGTAGTATTCTATTTCACCTACTTATTCATAAAGAGAAGAGAAACAAAAAATCTTCAAATCTTAGATGAATACGAATCAACAATCAACTTCGATGTTATAGGATCCAAAGGAAAATACAAACAGCTTGTTATCACGGGATTTAGAAATTGTCACCCAATATGCCTAGATGATTCATTATTCAAAACAGCTGTTGAAAAATGGCCGGGGCGGTGCCATGTGAGGTGAAATTTATCATACACCGATTGGACCTTTTGCTTTCCCGAAAACATAGAATTTATATTGGGGGCCAAATATATGTGCATATATCTATACTAATCAAGCCATATTTACTCATATAGTATTGAGGAATAATGTGTTTTATATAAGATATGAATTTCAAAAATTTTGTTTTATTTCATTTTGAATACAATGAGGTATCTATATATATACTCTATATTGTGTTTGTAAACTCATTTTGGTCACATATCCATTTTTTAATCTGCATCTTATTTGAGATTTCAAATTTTTATCGACAATCATATATGATCACATCGGCATTTGGAGATACTTATCTTGTATCTCCAAATATCGATGTGATCATTGTATTTAATTGTATATTGACCAAGAGATTCCGATGCAGAATATTCAAAGTAGATAGTTTTTCCATTCTGTACACATAGGTGCAGGGTCTATCACTGGCACCATGCACCTATATGTGCAGAATGGGAAAAGCTTGCACTTTTACCTTTCGATGCGAATGTTGCAAACACTTTTCCCATTCTGCACATATATATGCAGGGTCTATCACTGGCACCATGCACCTATATGTGCAGAATGGGAAAAGCGCGCACTTTTGTTCTTCGATGCGAATGTGTCGGACATAATTCCTGATTTGCTCATATATTTGCAGGATCTATCACTAGTACCCTGCACCTATATGAGCAAATCAGGAATTGCTTGCACTTTTTCACTTGAATGTGATTCATTGAATTTCAATTCGAGAAAGGAGTTTACAAATGCAGGGTATTGTTCCTTTACCCTGCATTTGTAAACTCCTTTCTCGAATAGCTTGCACTTTTTTCAAAGAATGTTAAACATCGAATTTCAATTCGAGAAAGGAGTTTACAAATGCAGGGTAAAGGACAATACCCTGCATTTGTTAACTCCTTTCTTGTAAAACCTTCCTCCAAAAAAATATAAAGATCACATTCTTCTTAAAACTCTCAAAATCTCATTATTTCAATCTTATAATCATAAATAAACATACTCTTTCTATCTAATATTTCTCTATTCCTTAATTTTCTTATGAAATTTGTTATTTTTTATTTAATTTTTAAAATTTTCAATTTTTTTGGATAATTTTATTCAATTTTATGATAATTTATTCTATTCTCATTATATAATAATATTGTTCATTTTTATTTTTTTAATTTTTCAATGCATACGATAATTTTTAATTCAATTTTTAAACGAATGTTTTGATGGGATGAGCTTACTGAGCATAGGCTCATCCCATCAAAACATTCCCTTAAAAACTCTGGCCTTCATCGAGGCCAGAGTTTACAATTCATCAGCTCAGAGCCAAGTTCCTCGACGGTCGTCCTCATTAGGCCCGATCCGAGAGGAACTTGGCTCTTCATTAAAATCACAAGCTCTGGCCATTGCTAAGGCCAGAGCTTCGCAAACCATCCTCGGGGCCGGTTTCCTCAAAGACCGCCCTGATTCGGGGCGGCCGGAGAGGAAAAGCCCCGAGAGAGTTCCCATACGAAGCTCTGGCCCAAGCAAAGGCCAGAGCCTGCAAATACAATCCTCAGGGCCGAGTTTTGCGATGATCGTCGATCATGTCGACGGTCTCGCAAGAACTCGGCCCTGAAAGACATACAAATACAGGCTCTGGCCCTAGCAAAGGCCAGGGCTTCGCTTACTGTCCTCAGGGCCGGCTTTCTCAAATGCCGTCCTGATCTAGGGCGGCAGGAGAGGAATCCGGCCCTGGGAACATCCAAATACGAAGCTCTGGCCCAAGCAAAGGCCAGAGCCTGCAAAATACTCAATGTTCAACAATTACAAATCTCATGTCACCCAGAAAGCTATGAAGGAAGCCCTTTCTCTAGGTTAGGACTTCCTTCATAGCTTTCTGGTACTGAGTGGAGTGGTTTTGGCTTCCATTGCCGCTCACTCCAGTAAGATCACGAGATTGTACAAAAGCCACGGCAAGTGCATTCCAACACCATAAATACACTTGCCGTGGAATACGGTTGCGAGTGCCTGCTGCTTCAACCGAGATTTGCAGCAGACACTCGCAATGATAACTAAAATTCATCATAAAGCTGGGAAATGGGCCTTTTCTCAAGGTCAAAGCCCATTTCTCAGCTTTATGATATTGAAACGAACATTTTGAGAGGTTATTACTGTTTTCCCCGGAATCATCTTGAGATTCCGGGAAAGTCATAGCAAGTGTAATCTATTAGCATAGATACACTTGCTATGACACATATATGCCAGCATCTGCTGCTTACCCCAAATAAGTAGCAGATGCTCGGCATCACATCTTGAGATCCTTATTATCTGCGTATTTTTCATTTTAATATATATAAATGTGTGTGTCTAACACAAGTCTATATGCGCCATGTAAAATATACACTAATACACACATATTGATCATAATTAATAAGATATCAAACTATAAAAACTGAGATATTACTATAAACTATATGTATTATTATATAGGTACCATACTATAAGGTCATATGAATATTATTGAAATTAGACACACTTTATATAATTTTATAATGTGAATAACTTGGGTCATAATTTTTTTTACGTAATTCCTACACGAAATGATCGGCATTACCCTAGTCTATCTGCGTGCAAAATACCAAGGAACAAATCAAATACTCACCATATCTTTTTTTAAAAAGGTCCAATCGGTGTATGGTGATTTTCACCTCACATGGCACAACCCCAAAATGGCCAGACGATCTTGCAATGTGGGCAATATATGCAAAGTTTGCTGCAGTTTATCCTGAACAATCAAATTGCATGTCATTCATTGCAAACAATATGAGGAACTGCAAAGCTGACAAAGATCTCATTGATCAAAAAATTCTTAATATTGGACAAATCATTAAGACAAGAGAAACATTGTTCACAGTTGAATTGAAGTCAAGGATTGCTAAGTTAACAAAGCATTTTGATAAGTCCATAAACAGATTAAGAAACATTTGGGATCTTGTTCTTCAAGGGAACTTTGGAGAAATGGATCATTCAAATAAATCTGCCTATCTCAGTGTGAACGAATCAGAAGTTGAAGTCAATCAATTAATGATGCTTTATCCTAATAACAGATTTGTGGCCAGACAATATTTCAGATTCCTATCCGAGATCAAACTTGACTATGTAAACGCCAGGATATGGAAAGAAAATTACAGGCTGTTACAATCAGGAATACAAGTTAACAAAGACACATTACACGATTTGGGAATGATTGCTTTTCCTAACATCCCTGAAAACATAGTAAATTCATTTAGTTCAAAAATCTTAATCACAACAAATGACGAAGAAATTTTTCAATCAGAAGAGAATATTATGGCTGATGATGATTTAGATAATCAACAACCTGACACAATCAAGAAACTTATTGATAATCACAAAGTTCCAGCATTGCAATTTATGAAGTTTTTCATGATCATCAATTTGATTGTGTTTATTTTGATTCCTTTCCTAGCATTATACTTTTATTTCGGATATTTCACAGATTCTTTAGACGAGCCACTTGATTACTTATATGGAATTTCATCAATGAGGAATCTTATTAATATTCTTCCATTATTTATCGGAAAATATTTATTAGAAGAACTTCCAGATCCCAAAAATCCCTCTCAAACCCTCATGGAGAAAAATGTAATTACTGAAGGATTTCCATTGAATGCTTATGGAGGCTATCTTGAATCAAAAGAAGCCACAGAATATTTGATTGCTCAGGTTCCATTGACGACTGCATTGCTAACATCTCTAAGATCTTACAAAGTTGGAAATGAAATAATTGAAGAAGTTCGGACAAAAATATTTTCTTCAGTTCTTCCTTTTAATATTTATGAATCTCCTGAAGAAGTAATGCAAACTAAAACTAGCATGATTGAATTAATTGTTTTAATTGCCACACATTGTGCAAAGGTTCTTGATTTTGAAAAAGTTGATGTTAGCGTTGCAGGCGGATTAGATGCGGTCACAAGCCGTTCTAACGATGTTACCACCACAAGAGTTGCTGGAGAAGCAATGAGTTTGTTAGTTGATTACATCCGAGAAGTTAATGATAAAAATCAAAAAATATTTACAGGTATAATGCTTGGAATGATTATACTTTGCGTAATATCATTTTTTGTATTATATCATTTACAGTTGAAGCAGCTCAAAATGAACAAAGAAGAATTATACAGCGTCTTCAGCAGTCTTCCAAAAACAGTGATTTCAAATGTTTCCGCTAGTTTTTCAAATTCAAAACAAGACTCAATGAGCTCGAAAACGAATGAAACTGAATCGAATAGACAAGAAGATGGAATCATTAAAATGTTCTCATCAATAAATGACGGTACAGCTGGATCTATTGAAATATACAATGCTTTCAATGTATTGATTGTTGGAATTTGCGCTTGTGTCGAATATTTCTTGATGCTTTCAAGTTATAAGAAAGCTTCAGAGACATTGGTTAAGAATTGTCATCACGTTAATTACATATATGGAAGTATTTGCCAAATGTTTTCATTGGTATCAAGTATGATAACAATTCTTCCTGCAAAATATGATGATAGCTTGTATACATTGTGTCCAAGACCTGATGTTGAAATGAATGTAATTAGGAATTTTGTTCCAACAATTGTTGATTATTTGAATTTGTTAAGACTTGGAGGTAAAGATGAATACGATATTCCATTCTTAGGAATGAAAAAAGCCCTTCAAGATTCAACAGAAATATTACATAAAAACGTCGATCAAAACAGTGTACCAAAGACAATTCCTGAAAGTGCACATCAGTTTTCTTGTGAACTCCAAATCTATTTGACAATAGCATTATTGAAGAAACAAGTTAATTTAATGACTCAAGATATTTGGCCAAAGTTAAGAGATGAGGGTATTGAAGATCTTTGGCAAATTGGTCCATTTGAACTTTATGAGACATTCTATTCTCACACTGGAAGACAATTAGTTCCAACAATTCAAGGACAGACATCGAAAGAGGAAAAGCCAATTTTGATTTGTTGCATTTCATTCACACTTGTTTCTTTATTGTTCACAATTGTATCTTTAATTATGATTCATAATGAATCAAAGTTATTGAGATTTGCTTTATTGAATCTTTTAAGAGTCCAACCAACAATACTTTTCCAGAATTCAAGAATCATGGATGTTCTTTCTGGGAATTACAGTAAAAGAAAGGATGATGAAATAGAAAGAGATTTAAAGTTCCACAATGAAGTTGCAAACAAATTAAATGATATTGTAGTTGTTGTCAATGAAGAGAACAATAAAATCCTTAGCGCCAATAAAGCATTTGAAGATACATTTAGAATTAAGGAAGAAGATATTATTGACACCTTAATTACTGATTTCTTTGTAAATGAAAGATTTTCATGTGATGGAAAGGTTGAAAAAGCATTGAACACAACAACAGTACTTACTTTTATTGATCACGAAGAGAACAAAAATTTCATTGAATTCTCAACACAAAGTGTTGCAGGAAGAAAAATCTTCAGTGGAAGAAATATAACACAAACATTGATGCATGAAAAAATGATTGATGATGAAAAGAAGAGATCTGATCAAATGTTAGCTTCTATATTACCTGCTTGTTTAGTTCCAAGAGTTCAAGCTGAAGAGAAAAACATTTCTTTTGCAATCAAATCAGTTACAGTTCTTTTCTTAGATGTCGTTGAATTCACACCATGGTGTGGAAGTCATGATGCACAATATGTGATGAGAATGCTTAATATTATGTTCAAAGAATATGATTTATTAACAAATGCACACAAGACTATGACAAAGATCAAGTGCATCGGTGATTGCTACATGGCGGCTGGAGGCATTTTCGATGAAGTAAATCAACCAGCTGTTCATGCAAAAGAAGTTGTTGATTTTGGATGCAGTGTTATTAAGAAGTTAGTTGAGATTGATGAACGTGAAAATGAAAGCCTTCGAATCAGAGTCGGAATAAACACAGGAGGTCCAATTATTGCTGGAGTTATTGGAACAGAAAAACCAACATTTGAGATCTTTGGACCTGCTATCAACATTGCACATGAAATGGAAAGTAAAGGAGTTCCAATGAAAGTTCATGTAAGTAGACCAGTTTATGAACTTATTTATGGTCAACAATTTGTTATCAAGGAGCGAGGAGAAATTGATATTAAGGGTGGAAAGATGTTTACTTATCTTGTTGATCCATAATATTAATTATTTTGTAATGTAGATATTTACAGACTAAATTTTAATTTTAGTTAAAATAAAGTTAATATATGTAAGATCTTGCTTCAAAATTACTTTGAATGTTAATTAAATAACAGAATTTTCGATAAAATCTTAAAACATGAATACATATTATGAGCACAGTTTAAATCTTGCTCGTAGTTATGGAAAAATAAAACAATCAGTTAATTGATGAAAATTTTATTGTTCATTAGGAAAATTAAAAATAAATTTTCGTGAATCCGACATCGTTCATCGGTTAGGATAAGCGGTTCTCATCCGCTGGAGCGGGGTTCGACTCCCCGTGTCGGAAAATTATTTTTTCGTTTTATTTTGACATGTCAAAAATTATTCAATCTGATGAATTTATTCCTTTTTCTTCTTGGAGTTCAATCATTAGGAATATTTTCTTCAGGCGACTATCCTAACTGTCACGAAATCAAAGCAAACATCTTTAATCAAACTAAATTATTCGAAAATTGTTATATAATCACAAAATCCTCTTTCGAAAATTGCATTTCTGGCTCACAAAACAATGGTGGTGCTATTTACATGTCCAATCCAATTAGAATTCTCTTACTAGATACTTCAATTTTTAACCAATGCACTGCTTTTGATGCCAGAAATGGAAGTGGTGGTGCTATCTTTACATCATGCTCGAAATTTCAGATCTACCAATGCAAATGCGTCCAATGTTACGCTGATTGGGTTGGGCAAGCAATTTTTGCTTCTACAAATGGCGACATTACATTCAATGAATCAACCGTATCATACTGCGCACCAAATAGATTCTTTGGCGCATTTTATTCCGTTAATTTGTTCTCAAATTTCATAGTTTCGAAAAATGTTAATTCAACAGATAACAGATTAATGGAATACGGCGCTAGTTTTCATTTCCAAAACAGTCTAACTGTAATTTCCTCTTACTTCAATGTCGGTTTTAACTTAGGAAGAAGTATATTTTGCATAACTACAACAGAAAACCAGATAAATGCATTTAATTACATTAATTTCTTTTCAAATGATGCAAAGACACCAGGAGTTATCATGTTTTCTGGACCTTCTGCTTTCGAAGATTGCGTTTTTGTAAATAACACAGGAACATTGATTTCTGTTAACTGGGAGTACTCAGGGTTAATAACCCTTACTAGATGTTCGTTTGATATACCACCTACACAATCAGAATTCATAGAAACAATTTCATGCAATATCGATCCAAATCCAACTTTAAATCCTAACAAGCGTAACCACTAGTATGATGTAGTTACTTTTAATAACCAAATTTATTGATTTACTTCAATAAATTGAATATTATTTTCTTTTTGTTTCATATTTTTATCAATTATTGATAATATGAATAAAACTGTTATTAGTTATATCTATATAGTAAAGAATGTTAACTTTTTTTTATAATTCGACGAAGATAACCATTATATTTTAGATATATCTCCAAATTAATGGCTTGATGCTACGAAAATATCAGTAATTAGATCAATTATATGATAATACTTAAAGAAATAGGATCACATAAAATAGATTAGAAATAATTTCTCATATTGAATAGATTAAAGGCGTGACTAACAATGTTTTGTAATAAAAATCCGAATAAGACCTATTGAAGATCATTATTATTTTTAATTTTAAAGAATATCAATTCCTTATTAACATTTTAAGGATAAATAAGCACATTAAAAGACATATGATCGTTGTAAAACACAAATATACTTTTTATTCTTTTAAAACAATTTATTTCTATATTTAATTCTCATCTTCTTCATCAACTGCATCTGAATCAACGTCGATTGGAATAGCATCAATATCAAGGTCTTCGAAGTATGTTTCCTTGATAGAATCAACTGCTGATGTGATTTCGAAGTCATCCAATTCAAGTAATTGATCTAAAGCTTCAAAACCTTCAATTGTCTTGAATCTTGATAACAAAAGCCTGTACAATCTCGGCTCAATGACTTGACCTATCTCAAACACAACATCAAGGGCTTTAAGAGTGTCAATGATCAAATCTCTGTCTTCGTATTCGAAATTCACAATAAGTTGTGAGACTGATCCATTGACACACATTCTTTCAACAACAGGCTTGCGACCTTGCATGATAACAGCGTTCAAAGTGTAAGCAGCTTCTTTTTTGAGATTATATTTGAAATCTCCATTCAAAGCGTGGTACATTTCATTGAATAATCCAGCATTGATGAGCTTCTCGATATTTTCTGGCATTGTTTTCGCAATGAATTTTGTTACATAAAAAGAATTTAATTGAACATTTTGATCTTCAGAAGAATAACACTCAACAATGCTTCCATAGTGGATATTGTTAACTGGTTTACCTGCTTCAAGGAAGAATCCGATCAATAAAAGTGCCGGAGATTTGATTTTTGGAGATTTAACTCCAATTAACTGACAAACAGCATCTGCGAACTCTGGAGAATATATATGGTCAACAGCAACATCAACTTGATGTAGAATGCTTAATAAAGCCCATAAAGCGTAATCTACAAATTGATTGAATTTCTTCATGATTACGCTATGGCAAAGTGCAATTATGAACTTTCCATTGTCAGGATCAATGGAAAATTTGGAGTAGATGTAGATTAAATGAACAATTTCATTCTGCACTGTAAGATTGCTGCATTGCTGGAAAATTGCATCTAAACGATTGATAGGAAAGATTCCCATTACTTTATTGCGGTTTTCTTCTGAGTTTTCTGCATAATTACTGAAACATCTTAATAAACAACCGAAAATTTTGAGATTGAGAGATGTAACATTAGACATTTCGCATAAGAAATTGAAAAATTCATCTGAATTTAGTGGATCATTCCTTGGATTCGTACGAGCAGACAAATTGATTAATACTCCGAAAGCTAAGAAAGAAATATCAATATCTTCGACTTTTGTGAGTTCAATTAATGCATCTAATACGCCTTGTTGTATCAATTCTTGAGTATCAATGATTTCAACTTTACTTGTAAAACCTAGAAGTTTTCTAAGCGAATGGACAAGGAATTCTTGGTTAGAACCTGCATAAGCTGACATTAGATTTGTATAATATTCAATTGGCGCAATTTCTTCATCAATTTCTTCTGGAGGAAGCGGATCTTCTTGTAATTCGGTAGATAAGTCAATCTGTGTTGATACAAGTGATTGGTCGAAGATTTCTATTGCTTTTCCAAATTGTTTGTAGCCGGTCGGAAATATTTCCATTTTTAAACGGGCACTTAAAAAGTGACAATATCTCAAAAATTTAAGGGGTAAATTTCTCCTCCCCCTAAAATATGATTTTATTGAATCAATAATTTTTTTTTTGTTGAAAAGATGCCGATTTATTCTGCAGGCGCAGATGGTGGAAATCGGCTTGGTCGTCCAGGACCAGGCAAAACACCAGCCATCGTTCCTATTGAAAGCAAAGGAGTGAAATGCATTGCTGTTGGCTGGAGGCATAATATTGTAATTTTTGACGACGGGAAAGCAGTTTGCTGGGGAGACAATTCAGATTTTCAACTAGGTTTATCTCATATTGGTGAGTTTTCACGCCCATTTCCACTTGATTGCTTTCCAGACGAACAAATTGCTTGGGCGCACTGCGGTGATAAAAGTACAACATTTTTAACAACAACAGGCAAAGTTTATACATGCGGTCTTTCAACTGGCAGAAGAATTCTCGAAATACAAATACCAAAACCAGCGATTTATGTTACATCAGGGTGTGCAGTATCAGTTGCGATAGATGTAGATGGTGCAATATACAGAGCGAATGCCGGAAATGTTTCTGCCCAGCGTTGGGTACTTCCAGATCCTGTTTGTGACGCTGCAGTTGGATCAAATTTTGTTTTAGCATTAACTACACAAGGACAAGTTTACGGCATTGACAAATTTGCCATGGAAGGAACAGGATCAACAACAACGTTTCTTCCTGTACCTTCATTACAAAATATTCAAGTTGCAAGAGTTTTCGCTTACAACGAACACGCCGCTGTTATCACACGTGATGGCAGAGTCATGATGTGTGGAAATGGCGAAAGCGGAAGATTAGGATTCGGAGATACAGAATCTCGAAACAGATTTGAGTTTTTAACAGATTTAGATGGCGCAAACATCATTGAAATTGATATGGGAGACGCTTCTACGATATTCATTGGCCACGATGGCTCAGTTTACGGCTGCGGAGCTTCAGCAGATGGAAGATTGATGTGTGGTGAAAGTACGGACCTAATTGTACCTACAAGATCAATGCACGTTCCAGGAAAGGCTGTTTTCGTGCGTTGCGGATGTTTCCATTCAGTAGTTTTGACAGATTCAATCAGACCAGTTCATCCTGCCCTTAAATTCTTCAAGATGACAGGAAATCTTGTTGCTATTGCCAGATCTATTCTTGTTGGAGGAAAAACAGTTAATACGGCAGCTTCTAGTTTAACAATTTACGATTTATTACCTGGAGATACAGTAAAACACCAAAAATACGGTGAAGGAAAAACAATTGGCGTATTATGCGCCAATATTATTGTGTCTTTTAATGGAACAATGAGAGAAGTTGAACCAGATTCGATTCAATTCGTAACAAGAAAAGGATATAGTTTATATGAAGGAACAAATGATACTGGAGAGACTTCTGCATTCGATGGCGGCAGTATTTGCTCTCTTTTTGGCTTCAAAGGAGGATCTGTTGTTACAGGACCGGATCAGAAGCCATTTACGGTACTTGGATATGCGCATGGTACTGTGTGGTTCGCAGATGATACAGGAAGAGCGTTTTGTCTCAAGGAAGATGGCTTGAAAAATCTTCATTCATTATTCAGGGATGAAACATCGAAATATTATGATACACCTGAAGGAAACCTTCCTATTAAGGAGATAGAACCATTCTACGCTAGATATAATACGTCTATTTACAAAGTTCTCGGATTATTTGGATCATCTTACCTCGCGAAGCTTGTAAATGGCAAGATTAAGTTGATTCCGCAGAAGAAATCAATTAAATTACAGTCAAATACGCAATTTAAGGAACTTGATCGCGTATTTGTCGAATCATTAAAAGAAAATGGCACTGTTTTGGGCTGTTTATCAGAAAAGATCATCTTCCTGAGTGACAAAGGTCTTGTTTCTAACGGAAAACCAGTTATTATTGCTAACAAAGAATGTACTTTGATTGCAAGGTTCTGTGGAGAAGGAAAAAGAACAGTAAATGGTGTTGAATACGATGTTTCGATAGAAGCAGAAAGATCATATCCTTATCTACCAAGCGACATCATACTTTCCAAGGAAGATGATTCAATATATACAGTAATTGGAAGAAAAGACGAGAAGCTGTGGATTCAAAAAAGTGACAACGGGGAAGTTCACCCCTTTTTGAATGAAAAAGTAATATTGCTTAGAAGACATTTCAGGACAGGGCATTATGCATATCCTTTTGTAACTAAGGAAGATGTGTTACCTCTTGCTAAAGTAGCAATTGCTGCAATGGCAGGTCTTGGTGTTTTACCTGGCAATGAGATAATCATTGAAGATAGGAACTACATTGTTTGTGGCATAGCTAATCATTGCCTTTGGTTATGTGACGTAGAAACACAAACTTTTGCTGGAATTGCAAAACAATCATTTAATTTGAAAGAATCCATCAAAATTGTAAAAGATCTTTCAGATAATATCAATTTACTCATGGTTTCCAATTAGATTGCGATTATTATTTTTGTCTGTATAATTTTTTTATAATATATAATTTATAAAAATCCAACTGATTTGAAAGTAGTCGATACTTCATAGTTCCAATTGCTGAATTTTGAAATTAAATTTTATTTATGAACATTTTCAAACATATGAATGCTAAACTCCTAATTTTGAACACATAAGCAGAGAATAATATAAATGTGCTTATTAATTAAATATGCAATAATCCAAATATTATATTAATGTCAAACAATGACGATAAAATCTTAAATCTGACAATTTGACAGTCGTGGGCCATTTATCAATGCATTTGATGAATCTTATTCTTTCTTAGATTTCTAGTATTATCAATTTTCTCAGAAATTTGAAAGCTCAGAAATGTTTTGAAAGGTTCTTATCAGATTAGATCTAATCTCAATTGTTTTATTATTTTGATGATGACCAATGATATTAATTTTATTTGAATAATGTTTAAATAAGATATATTTGAATTCATTAATTTTGTGAACTTGAAATGCGGCTGACATTGCTTTTTGAGAGTTTCTGATGTGGTTAGAGTTGCATCTTGATATTTTAACATGCTTTTGGTAAATAAATCGGATGCATGCAGGCAGATCAGGGGGGGGGGAAAAAAAAACTTATACCTGACGGCTATTTTTCATTGTATGACAAGTATTGACTTGCTGCTAAACTTTTAGAGAATATCACACCTACCTCGATTAGCAATCTATTCTAATTTTTCGAAAACATTTCACATGCAAAAAATTGAAAGGACAGATCAGATAATTATCAGACGTCATTCAATCTCATCGTTTACTCATATTTAAGTAAAGTATATTATATTGTCTTTTTAGTTTTGCTCAATATTCTGAAATAGAATTGTGAACAAATCTGAAAATTTAATTGATAAACTCACAAACACATTCATACAATTGCAATAAGATGAACTTTAATTAGATTTAATTGAAAAAACAAATATCTAATAACAAAGAGTTGAAAATAATGATAAGAAAATCCGCTTTTGGTAGCATATTGTATATATAAAATATTAAATAAACTCTGTTGCTCTAAATTAGACATATGGGATAATTATTGGAACAAATCCGCTGCAAAATCTTCAACATGGAAGATAAGCTGTTCAAATTCAGAAAATATATCTGATTGAGGTAATTCTTGCAAATCCTTACATTCTCTGTCCGAAAGCATTTTGGATGGATTTGGATTTTGTCTCCTGAAAAATGTCCTAAATCTGTTTTTGATGTTAAGAACTGTCCTGCCAGGAAAATGTTGGGCGATTTGTGACCATTTATTTCCAATTTTATCATGTAATCGAAGGAGTTTTTCATCTTCTTCTGGGCTCCATACTTCATTTTTGATATCGGGATTTAGCTTAGTGAACCATCTTTCTCTGCATTGCTTACCAGATCTTGTTCCTACAATTTTGGCTATTTGCTTCCATTTCAATTTCCCAACTTTCTTAACAGCATATTTAAGCAAATCATCTTCCTCAATGGTCCATTTGCTTTTCGGTGTGTGGTTGCTCCTTAATTTCGTGGGCTTCATTGTGAAATTGCCTAATTGAACAGTAACAAATTTTGTGAGAAACGTTTTGAATTGAGCACACAATTTGATCTGTTAGCACTTTTTGCATTTTGAGATATTCAAAATGGAATAAACAACCATATATCAATAAAATTATTTTCAATACTACTCAAATTAACAAATTGCCAGAAAAATTTCAGATCAAGAATGTAAAATAATCTTATTTTCAAATTTTTTGATGCAATATTATTCTTTAAGGGTGCACACGAGAGGATCACGTAAACTTCAGAATTTAGAACCTTATTTTTAGGCATTATCTTGGCTACCTATTTAGGCTCGAAAAGCAAAAAATATCAAAAAATACAACTTGACTCCATTATGACCCTTTCATGGAGGTAGTTTTTATCCGCTAGTATTTTCCCTTTGAATCTCTTTACAATTCGAAATCAAATTCAAACCTCAGTAGAAGAAAGGAAGAATCGACTTACTACGGTTGTAATACGAATAAATACATATATTTAATTATTTTTATTTACATAATAATTGTTTGAAGCTCATATTCCAACAAATTTTTAAATAAAAACATTAAAATGTTGAAAATGTTCATATATTTTAATAGGGTTTTGGCACTTTATTGAGGAATTACTACATACATAGTCGAACTGAACTTGATATTTTGAAATTTAAATTATTTATCAAAATTAAAATTTAACTTGAAATTTATAATTATTTAGTCATATTTTGCATAATTCTAAGTAGATTTTGTAAAAAATCAAGAAAGAAAAATTTTAACGTGCTTTATTTTTTCTTTTTATAATAAATACATATTATTATATAATTAACATATTCATAATATTTCACCCTTTCAAAAATATAATCCTCCTCCTCTCAAATAAACGTACATACGGGTGGCCTCTTTTTTCAAAAAATTAAAATTTGAAATTTTGGGCTCAAATATTAGAGATTTTTTCAACCTTCAACGATATATGTTGTCTATATCAGACCTCCTTTCTTTTTGATACTTAACATTGTTCCTAAATCTTAGCCGTTAAGGCTGTTCTGAAAATATTTTTTTTTTCGAAAAAATTCGAAAAAAATTCTTAAAATTCAAAAATCGCTTAATTCCTGAGGATTTTGGAAAAAAGTTTTTACATGAACATGTGTATATTATATGAAGTATATTGATAAGGTAAAAATCAAATTTTATTGCATATTCATCGAGAAAATAAACTAACGAATCCCTCAAAATTGAGAGGGTAATCCTCCTACTCTCAAATAAACGTACATACGGGTGCACCCTTAATGATATACAGAAAGTATTATTCTAACATTTCATTGTATTTTATTACTTTCAATGTTATTTTTTTGAATAATCAAAAAGCAGTTCATCAAGCTATTGTTTTGTTAACAAAAATACATACAAAAAAATTAAATGTATGCAAATATTGTAGACTTCAGAAAATGATCTACTTTAAGTGGTTGTCTGCCATTTTCGGAATTAATCTAGTCGGATTTCATATATCTCTTTCAACAACATGTCTATTATGCAATGAAATTGCATGTTCATACCATTGTTTTTCAAAATGATTTTTTTTTTTAATTGAAAATTATTTTGATTTTAATGCATTTTTATGCTTATCCAATGTAATTAGAATGCATTAATCATATTAATTTGAAATATTATTGCAAAAAATATAATTCATTTTTTTTCATATCGATACGTCATTTATAATGTTAAAATGAATCATGTGGCTCAAACTAAAACTTAACTGAGCTTTTATCTTAATGAATATTAACCTGAACTTATTGAAATTAAATTTCATGGCAAAATATATGGAGCTGAATTAATTATATCCTGTACATATTAAATACAATTTATACATATTTTAATTTCTTATTTAACATATATAATTTCCTTTTTTTTAATTTATCGATAATTTCATCAATTGTTATTGGAATTTTCGATAAAGCAACAATGCGAAATATCATTATATAGAAGTTGGACCCTACAAACAGATCTTAGGTTGTTTTTTAGGGGAAAAATAGTGAGGAAACATTATGAACGATAGAAACGTTAACGAAGACATTGAAATATTTCGATAAATTTCAAAAACAAAATTCTCTTCAAAAAAAAAAAAAAAAAAAAAAAAAAAAAAAAAAAAAAAAGGTAGTGGGGCTCCCAGGCACTTCGTGCCTTCTAGCCCTGAGGATGAATGAGTATAATGAAGTTTTTTTTCTTGGGGTGGTCTTCCAGGCACTTCGTGCCTTCTAGCCCACATAAATGAAGTTTTTATTCGGAGGTCTTCCAGGAGCTTTTCACAAATTATATATGTTTTCATGTTTTGTCAAGACTTCTTCGTAAAGACTTTGTCAAGATTTCATCGTAAAGACTTTGTCAAGATTTCATCGTAAAGACTTTGTCAAAACTTCATCGTAAAGACTTTGTCAAAACTTCATCGTAAAATCAGACAAAAATAATGTTTAGGGTAGAAGGTTAGATATAACCTCTTTTCTAACCTCTTTTCTACCCTCTTGAATTTGTCAAGATTTCTTCGTAAATGTTTTGTCACTTTTCTGTCACTTTTCAGGAAAAAACATTTTTATTATTATATATAAATGAATTTTACAAAACCACCACTACCCTTCTTTGGAAATAAGAGTAGATGTAAAGATATTATATTGAGAGAACTTAAGAAACTACCGAATGGTCTAACATTTGTAGATTTGTTCGGTGGAAGTTTCTATATATCCCATTTGTGCCATATAATATTTCCTGACTCAAAGATTATATGCAATGACTTCGACAACTATATGAACCGTCTCAAACATATACCAGACACAAACAAAATATTGAGTGAGTTAAAAGAAAAGATACCTATAGGTAAGATGGAACGTATACCATTAGATAAGAAAAATACTGTCAGAGAGGTTTTGAAAAAAGCAGAGTATATTGACTGGGATAGTATATCTGCTAGACTATTATATAGTGGTGCTATAAGAGTTCATGACATTGAAACACTTATGTCAAAAGTTTTATATCTTAACTATACAAATGTTTTCAAAGAGGACATAGAAAAATATATTGAGGGTATAGAGTTTGTGAGATGTCGTTGGACAGAGTTGTATGAAAAATACAAAGACAAGGAAAATGTTTTCTTTATAGTAGACCCGCCGTTCTATAACACATGGGATTTTCAATACCAAGTAGACTGGACTTTGAGAGACTCTTTAGAAACTTTAGACGTTTTACATAACCATCCATGCTTTTACTTTACATCCGATAAAAGTGGTTTGGAAAGTGTCATGAGATGGTTAGAGGATATACATGACTATGAGTTTAGATACGATAAGATAGAATATGAGAGAGGTCCTATAAACTGGAGAAAGTGTCATAACAAAGAAATTTTACTAGTAAGTAAATGTGGTTTGAAATCGGATTGTTAGTTTTAGGTTTTTTCCATTGTGTCATTTATTTATTTGACGTGGCAGAAAAGTACAGAGAATATGAAGATGAACCAATGCCTGCAAATGTCCAGTATATGTACTCGTAAGAGATATTTTTATCTAATATTAAATGGACGCACAGAACTTAGCGAATGCACAGCAACCTGGACAACCAAACCCAGAGAATATTCCAAATGAAGTTAGAATACAAACTGCAATGGCAAACTATGGTCAAGTGCCAACAGATGTACAAATGCAAACTGCCATGTCAAATGACGCTGCGTTAGGTTTGCCACCATGGTATGCAAATATGAGATGGAAAGAGTTTATACAAACCCTGAAGTGGATATAAACAACTTTATGCAGATGACGCGAACACAGGAGTTGACCCAGAATATGTTTTCTACCAGAGGAGAAACAGAATGTATGAGCTCCAGTTAAAGAATGCTATGGAACTCAACAGGAAACGTAAGAGACTAGGCGGACATTAGATTTTTACATATAGTAAAATGGGTTTCTTCAGTAGTATTGGAAACTTCTTCAGAAGAGTTGGAAGAGGTATATGGAATGGAATAAAATCTGTCGGAAAAGGAATTTGGAACGGAGTCAAAAATATTGGTAAAAGAGTAGGTCAGTTTGTTGGTATTATACCTAAAGACCCTGAACCAGAAGAACAAGCTCCTGTTATACAACAGCCTGAACCTGCACCACAGTCTAGTTGGCAACCAAATCCAACACCTCAACCGTATTAAAAAATTATATTTTTACCGTTCGATAGTAGTTGTATATGAAACTAAGTTCTAAGTAAAACGCATGTATAATGGAACTATTCTCTTTCTTCCATCTGTTGTAAACCATACTTGAAAGTCTGAAATACTTCCACTTGGTGGTTCGTATAACTTTGTAGGTTTTTCGTAAAAGTCATTTGCCAAGCATAAGAAAGAGTTTTGGGCGCCAGAAAATGAAGCATGAACTATAATAGCATCTGAGTCGAAAAACATTTTCATATGTTCCATTAGGGTTTTCGACTTCATAAAAGTTCGGGTGTACTGGATATCTGCAGGCTGATTTAACATCCTCAAAAATCTATACCATGCCAAGTTGTTATATTTGTAGAAATATAAACGTCTTCTCCAAGGTCTTCTATTCTATTGATTTTAACAGTTGCATTTTTCCTGTCATATATAATATCGAGATGGTACTCTCCTTCGTCAATGTTGTACTGTTTTGCATATTCGAGATAGATATCGTTTATTTTTTCTTGAAAAGCTTGAAGAGTTGTTTCTAAGTTTACAAGCAAATTCACTTGTAAAAGTTTTCCCTGTTCAAATTTCTCATACGTATGTTTTTCTTTGTTATAGTATCGAACTTCAAAAGCGACCGTAAATGGGAAACCATGTATGGCTTCTGAAATGAACTTCATTCTACGAAAGCCAATAGCTTTTGTGACGGATGGGTCTCTTAACCATCTCAATGGGTAGTCAAAACGATAGCCTTCATGCTTTACGGTCTCTGTCTCAAACTTTTGACCTACGTTAGTAAAAAGTTCATCTAATGGTTTAGTTGTAGCAACTCTTGAATTTTCTTTTTCTATTGAAAGCATATTTTATCTAGAATAAAAATGTCGAAAGAAACAGCGTCTATGAGAGAAATACAACACAACCGACAACTCATTTTGCAAGCTCTAAATAAGAACACAACAAACTTTTCAAACTATTCTAAGATATCTGAGTCATTGAAAGAAGGAAACTTAAAACTGACGATAAACCCATTGACAGACGAGTTTCTGTTTCAAGACAGTAAGAACCATACTGTTTGTATAAATCCAACAAAAAGAACTTTAAACGAGAAACCTATAGATGAACTTCTTTTGAAAGCAGATATTGACAACAAAGCTGACAAAGAGTATGTAGATGCAACAAGAGACTATATTCTCGCATGGACAGATAGAACATACCCACAAAAACATCATACACATAACATCTATGACGTAGATGAACTACCAGCAATGTTAGATGACAAAGCAGATAAAACATATGTTGACAATAAAATGTCAAGTGAAGTGACAAGAGCTGACAAAGAATATTCTAAAAAGACTCATACACATACCATTGCAAATATTACAAACTTACAAGAAACCTTAAACAGGAAAAGTGACGTTGGACATACACACGATTTCTTCGCAACTGTTGGTATAGAAAATATTGAAGGAACGGTTGAAGAAACTGGTGGGGATGTATTAAATTGGAAACCTCCTAACTTTCCACAAGGTTTAACATCGGAAGAAGACATAACAACGATGAGATACATTAGATGTAGAAATGTCTATGTCATGGAGGATGAAAACAAAGTTAAATTCACTGCTCAAGATTTATATGACAACAAAGCTGACAAAACATATGTTAACGTTGAGTTAGATAAAAAAGCTGACAAAACATATGTTAACGATGAGTTAGTTAAAAAAGCTGACAAAACAGAGCTTCAAACGTTAAAGACAGAAATACTTCAAACAGTATATCCTATAGGCTCTATTTATACGTCAATGAACTCTACCAGACCAGAAGTAGTACTTGGTTTTGGAACTTGGACTCAAATAGTCGACAGGTTTTTGTATTGTGCAAACTCTTCAAAGGAAACAGGTGGAAGTAAAACGATTTCAGGTGAAAACTTACCTGCACACAGTCACTACGTAGATTTAAGTACATCTCAAGCAGGTTGGCATAAGCATAGATTTTGGGATTGGTCAGCAATGAAAAAAGGTAAAGGATATGATGTTAAAGACAACGTTCAGTTTGCTATAAATTGTTTCTGGGGTAGCACACAGGGAGAAGGAAACCATACACATCGCGTTTCAGGGTATACGCAAACAACGGGACAGAGTAAAGACTACATGCCACCTTACATGACAGTTTACGCATGGTATAGAAATGCTTAGTCGTCATTTTCAACTTCTTTAGCATATTCGTCAGCAGTTGTCTTATATTTGTTAGGAACTGTCTTTGAAAGTATACCACCTTGAACTTTGACAAGTTTGAAACGAGGTCTGACAATAGTAGTTTTATCTTCTGCTTGCAGTCTGTACATTTTTGCCATGTTTGCCTAAAACTTCATAATATTCTCTTGTATACTTTCTTCTATTTTTACGAACACGAATGCGAGTACCTGTCGAGTTCCCATTGTTGTCATAGTCAATAGTATTTTCATATGGGTCGCGTTTAGGTATTTCTATTTTTACTTTGTCACCTTTCTTAAGTTTGAAGCCTGGCATTCTTTCTTGTTTGTCTCTTTTGACTAAACTATTAAATATATAGTCTTTCTCTAAGTCGGGGTTGTTTTTCATTTCTTCGGGGGAGTGGTTTCCTAAACCTTTTTGTTTACGGCTATTGTAAATATTTAAAACTTGTCTCATCTTTGCCATGGAGAAGTGTCTATACTTGTCGTCATATGACATTTCATCTACCTCACCACCTTGTGGTTGGTTTAAGTCTCTTAAGATTTTTATACAACTGTCAATGACACCAAGAGCAGAATGGTTTTGGTCGACAATGAAATATTGGTTTACATTTTTGAACGCAGATAGTTTTTAATATCGTCTGATTTGAAAGAACTTTCACAGTCAGATGTCAGTTTTGTTGGATGGTATTTGTCAACGAATATTGTCAAAGCAGTTTTCACATCTAAAATATTTTTGGACCATAATGGTATGGCTTCACAGTATCTTGTGTTTTGACCGACAAATATTAGCCAGTATGGAGGTCCATCTTCTCTATACCTCGGAATGTTTTCCAAGATATCCATAAACCAAGCATTTGGTGTTGAACTAAAGATTTTTATCATGAGTGCTTTCTTTGTCGCTTTAGAAACATAGGGGTCCTTGTTTGGATTCGTCATTTTTACCCCATAAGAAATGGGTTTATTTGGCGCATTAGCAGGAGTTGCATCTAGATTTTTACCCGCAGTGGGAACAATAGCTAGAGGTGCATTTGGAATTGGAAGGAAGATTTTGAGTACATTAGGTATACTTAAAGAGAAAGCACAACCTATTATACAAACTGTACAGAAAGGTTGGGATGTAGCACGAGATGCAGCAAATCTTATTCCAAATCCTGAAACAAGAGGAAAAGTTCAAGGATGGATGGACAATGTAGGAAGAGAAGCAGGAAACTACTATAACAAAGCAAATGACTACTATAACCAAGCAGGACACTATATGGACCAAGGTGAAAGATTCTTTAACAGAGGATATAACCATGCACAACAGTGGGTAAACAACAACCAACCTCAACCGCCTCAAACGTGGGGAATGTAAATTTTTTTACTGAGATGAAATGAACAATACAGCATTGAGACAAATGGGTTCAAGATGGATTTGTCGACTTCCAGCAGTTACACAACCACGTGTTTGTCAAGTCCTCCCTATACCTCAGGAAGTTTTAGACCGACTTAAAAAACCTAAACAACCAGTTGAAAACAAAACAAACTAAAATTTTTTACTGAGATGAAATGACCGAAGAAGTTGAAACGGTAGATTTGACACCACAAACAAAAAGTTCAGAACCATTGTCAAAACCTGTCAAAGAACTTACAGATGAAGAGAAAAATTCAATAATAGAAAGTGCCAGGTCTGGAAATACAAACCCTAACTATAAAGTCACTTTTCATAGAAATGGAACGGCTAGTATCTCAAAAAAGAAACAGACTCTCACAAATAAAATATTGAAGTCTGAAGGAGCTTTCGAGACAACAGATGGAAAAGTTTACTTCACTGACCAACAGTTCATTATAGAACATCTCATTGACTTAGAGTCGAAATATTCTAAACTTTACAACAAACACAAAAAGTTGAAAGGAAAACAAAAACAAATGGCATATGATATTTACGAAGATGTTAACGACACAACCATACCTGCAAGTGAGGTAAAGTCAGATGAACCGAAAAGTGACGAAAAACCAATAGAAGAAGGTGAGCCAAAAACTGAAGATAAACCAAAACCAAAGTTTAGTCTCCAGACTAAACCAAGCCAACCTTCATTAGCTGGTATGGGTTGGCGTCAAAGACTTTTGGCAGCGGGTGGTTACGTAAAGTAAAGAAAAAACATTTTTTTATTTTTATTTGAAATGTACGCTGAGTTTGTTGGAGAAGACCGTTGGGAAACTTGTTTGTTAGATGAGAAATAAAACATTGCATACTATTTTAAAACAATATATTTTTTTAAAAAATATATTTTTTTATTTTATTTGAAATGTACGCTGAGTCTGTCGGAAAAGACCGTTGGGAAACTTGTTTGTTAGATGAGAAATATGAAATTCACTGTTGTGAGTCATTTGAAGTCAGAAACAAAAAGACAAAAAGAGTTTTAAGCGAATGGGAGCGAAATGACGGATATGCTATGATAAATATGAGTGGAAAACACTATTTTAAACATATTGTCATTGCAACTCATTTTATACCGAACCCTAACAATCTACCTCTTGTAGACCATATAAACCGTATAAGAAACGACAATAGACTTGAAAACTTACGCTGGGTCACTGGTTCTGAAAACAATAAGAACAGAGGCAAAATTCGAGATATTGTATTCGAATTTGTCGACGAACTAGAAGATGAAACAATTGAAATTACAGACTATGGTAAGCATACGTTTGAGTTTTACTACTATAGCGAAGAACAAGACTCTTTCTACTTTTATACCGGCGTAAACTATAGAAAATTACAAGTATATTTTACTAAGACGGGTTATGCTTATGTAAGCACTAGAGATACAGATGGAAAAAACGTTAGACTATTTCTTAACAAATTCAAGAAGCTATATGGCATACCATTTTAAAACAGTATTTTTTTATTTTTATAGAAATGCCCCCGTATAGAATGGATAGAAAATCTGCTAGAATAAAAGCAGAGTTAGAAAGATATGGTTGGAAAGTTTCGAAGAATTTTAAATATAGGAAGGGAAGACCCATAAAAGTCTATGACAAACTGGCTGGTCTGACCTACGAAATGGACTTAAAAACAGCGCGAACCAACTATCCAAACAGACTAGAGAGGTTAGAAGAAGAACGTCTTATGGACATGCCTTTCGATGTTACTGAGCCTCAGGTTGAAGGACAAGACGGCTTTGCCAGGTTCTACTGGAAACATGACGAACAATTGCATCCTTTGAGAAGGAAAAAAGGAAAAGGTGAAGACAAACATGTTCCCATGGAAAGAACAAGATATGCATATGAGAAGTACCGTGAAGTTAGAAGTCAAATTACTTCTGGTCGAACCTTTACAGTAAACTTTGACGAAGGAAAGAACAAAGAAGGCTTCATGGGAGTACTTGCTGCCATACAAGACGGAAATAAGAAAGGATACAATCTCAGATTGACCATAACAGATTTGGACGGTCATATATACTATACACATGGCAATGTCACAACAGCTGCAATGCTTCTTGACGCTTTCAAGACTACAAAGAGAGAACAAATGGTTGACTCCGACTCAGACATTTTGAATGCAATTGAAGGAATTGCAAGTGTAAAATTTGAATGGTACAAACGTAACCCTCAAGCAGTCAGACAACATGTTTGTTAGATGAGAAATATGAAGTAAAAACGTTTACTTTTAAAACCATATATTTTTACATATATTAAATGTTTCAGGTTGAAAAACAAAGAACAAAAGTAGCAGATACAAAACCGTTAGACTATATCTTCACAAATGCCGGTAGGACTATATCAGATGAAGAAATTTCATCCGGCTCCTACCGCTTTGACTTTCCAATTCGTTGGCTTCAAAGTCCTTCAGATGCAAAGGCAATAGGATTTAGAAGAGTTTTGTTTTCAAAAAGAACTAACGCGTTTATGTTTGCAGTATATTTTCATGGTCAGTATAGAGGTTCTGACGGTCTACTAGACAAATTTGACGAAATGAGAATCTTTACAGTTCGTTCAGACGAAAGTCTTGAGAAGACTCTAAATGACTTTCAAACTCAAATAAACAAATACTACTGGGAATTTCAAGAAAAATACGATTCTTTACTAAATGGAACATACTATCTGAAACTAGAATATGACAAGATGAACTCCACAGTTTCATTTCAAAGGATTGAAAATAACCCTCCAAGAGATACACAGTTTTTATTTTGGCAAGTAGACAAACGTTCTTGGGCACAATTTCTTCGGTTACTAAACCAGAACGAACCATTACCACCTGACGGTCCGTTCTGGTTTATACGCCCACCAACAGATTTGACAGTTTATAGAAACGTGTTTGACCCTCAAAATGTCATGTGTCATGCAAGTTTCAGTTCAAGCAACAATAGTTTTCTTTGTATTGGTAAGGACTTTTATGACTTTGCTTCTAAATTCTACGAACCACCGAGTAACAGTTTCTCTGACTTTCAAGTTTGGTTCACAACAAATGGTGTGCAACATATTGTTCCATTGTACTACGACTTTTATCTCGAATTGTCTTTCATATATAACTACGGAGAAGTGCTGAAAAAGTATTGAAAAATAATGTTTATGTTAGAATGTTAGATCTAACATGTTTTCTAACACGTTTTCTAACATCGTAGAAAACACGCAAAACTCTTGAATTTTGTATAAAAAAAAGCAACCCGCGGAATTCCGGCGGTTGGTATATTCTTCACAAAATGCTTGTTTTGAGGTTAAGCCAAAAATATTTTTATTTTTTATTGTACGTACTGAATGTCAGTCGAAGCAAAAACGTTCACGAACAAATCTAATGGCGAAGCATTCACAAAAGGCACTTACAACGGTATTGAAGTCTTACGTAGAGACAAGGATGGTTATATAAATGCAACAAAGATGTGTCAGCAGTTTGGGAAAGACTTTAGAAGGTTGTTGGAAAATAAGTCCTGGGAAGAGTATTTTAAGGCATTTTGTGAAGAATATACCAACCCGCGGAATTCCGCGGGGTGCTTTTTATACAATGTTAATGCAGGAATTCCGGATGAAATCAAACAGGTTAGAGGAATGTATGTAGACCCAAGACTCGTAAACTATATTGCAATGTGGGCTTCTCCAAAATATTGTATAGCAGTTGGAAAAATTATGGACTCCATAGACAAGAAAGTTCATGAGAAGTTAGATGAAGAAGAACTTGAAGATACAGTAGAGAATGCTAAACCTTTGTTCGAAGAAGAAGTTAGAAAAATGCATGAAAAACAAATAGAACATGAACGTGAGATATGTTCTGGTTATAGGGACTCTCCATACGAACTAGACCAATGGGAACAAGAAGATTTAAAGAGAGAATTTAGAGAATATGAACTCGCTAAAATTTCATTAGAAGCTGCAGAAAAGAAGTTAAAAGTTTGGGGTCGTTTTGTACAAAAATATTGTGAGTAAATGAACCATTTATTTTTATTGAATTCGGCAAAAATATATTTTAGGTTAGATGGTTTTTAGGTGTCACCAGGTCCCTCGGTCACCAGGTCACCAGGTAATTTTAACTTCTCTGAAAAAGTGTGACAACATGACATTTTGACAACAACACAGGAAATAGACTTCATCGTCAATGTTTTTGTATAAAAAGCACCCCGCGGAATTCCGCGGGGTGGTATATTCTTCACGAAATGCTTGTTTTGTCAAACATGAACGTCAATGTTTTGTATAAAAAGCAACCGTCGACATTCTGGCGGTTGGTATATTCTTCATGAAATGCTTGTTTTGAGGTCGAGCCACTTTTGGCTCCACCGTATTTTTCAACCAAAACTCATTTTTGTCGACAAATATATATTTTATGTTAGCATGTTAGATCTAACACGTTTTCTAACCACTTTTCTAACATCGTAGAAAACATAGCACAAAAATATATTTTATGTTAGAATGTTAAATCTAACATGTTTTCTAACACGTTTTCTAACATCGTAGAAAACTCTCGAAATTCATGAGTTTTGACACTTTCATAAAAAACATAAAAAATAAAGTTAGTTTTTTTAAAAAAATATTTTTTATTTTTATTGTAAGAACATGTTAGCAACAACTTCACCAAACTCGTTAGTCATGAACCCAACTTCAATGTTAGTAGAGATGAAAAGCTTCATTCCTTCTTCATATACTTTCGAAACAGAAATCCAGAAGATAAAGCAGGAACTTCTCCAAGGAGATTTAGACTGTAGTGCGAAAGATGAAACAAATGAACAGTATCTTTATGAAATGCAGGATATTATTGACCATCTACCTAAACTTCCTGAAATACAACAACAAAAGCTTACTATTCCTGAATTCGATGAAATAGAAGTCAAAGCAACTGACTCAGTAGAAATAAAGAAGTTCATACGAAAGGTTAACTATGAGTTTCTTGGATTTCATTGCAACCACAAAGTCATGGACAAAGATTGCGATATGGTATATAAAAATGTTTCTGACATATATAAATCTGGGGAGTTTAAGACCTACGACAACTTTGTTTCGTTAGTTGCAAAATGTGTATGGCAGATAAGAGATAAAGATAGAAGAGGTAAGATATGGAACGAACAAATAAAACCAGCAACTTTTGAGTTAAAGAAAACCATTGACGCCTTAGTCATACTAGCAGGTAAGATTTCAATGTACAATGCTAAAATGAACCCACAATGTTCTAAATGTAAAGCAGCAATGAGGAAATATAACTACTCCGTCAAAGAGATAGAACGTATGCGAAACGACTATGCAGATTTAAAGAAAGAAGCAGAAAAACCAGCAGAAGATAAAATGAACATGTTAGAATTTCTGAACAAAAACTATCCAACTGCTGACGATTTCCTTCTATCTGACGTCAAGAAGAAGTATAAAGAAACTTTCGGTATCGTTAAAACATTCGATGTACTAAAAGAAGAAATAGAAGCTACGAAATTGTTTAGAGTCATGAACCATCGCAACATATACCATGTAAAACGCTTGTAAATAGTTATGTTAGAAAACATGTTAGAAAACATGTTAGATCTAACATTCTAACATAAAATATATTTTTGGTCATTTACAATGAAGTCTTGACAAAACATTTAAGTTCGATGAAGTCTTGAAAATTCATGAGTTTTGTGTGTTTTAGACCATGTTAGGAAACGTGTTAGAAAACATGTTAGATCTAACATTCTAACATAAAATATATTTTTGCTGAATTCCGTATGAAAACCGAGAGAAGAACAGCGAGTAGGTAAGAAACCTTAGTCGCCAAAACTCTATGAAAACAGTGAAGAACAGCGAGACCGACTTTTATCTAGGTCGCCAAAACTCTATGAAAATCATGAGTTTCCTTAAGACAGAAAAAATAAAGTTAGTTTTATTTTTATTTATTTTTTTATTTTGTATGTAAGGACAGATATGTCAACATCAGAGAACACAACAACTGCTATCGTTCATGAAGCCATAAATGAAGAATACGAGTGGGTTCAGTTTAACAAACAACTCCGTCTCATTCGTTCGGTCAAAGACGATATGTACCAGATGCAAAGTATTTTGACAGCATGTTTTGCTCCAGATACTAAACACGCAGACGATTGGTTTAGGAACCAAAGCACACAAGAACTTTTGAGTGAAATTTCTCTAGACCGAGAAAAATCGGTCTTGCCTAAAACACATGAAAATCGTAAAAATTTGCCAATAAATTTAAGAGGTTGGTATGTACATAGACTTCTTGTAAATAATGTGGCACAATGGGCTTCGCCTCGTTATGCTTGGTATGTTTGTAAACTTCTTGACGAAATTCATAGACAAGAACGTGAAGAGATGGAAAAGAAACTTCAAGCAAAAGATGAAGTCATTGAAGCAAAAGACAAAAACATACAGAAAAGAATACCACGTTCGGTACCAAAAGGAAAGGAAAAGAACTATAAGTATATGATTTATACTGAAGAGATGGAAAATGAAGAAGACAGAGATATGGTTATGTTGCATTTAGTCAGAAGAAACAACAAAAGCTTTTACGACCTTGCTAAGATTTACAAATCTGACAGAAATTGGTTCTATCGCGAAAACTTACCGATTTCAATGACACCGAATGAAGATGTGAAACAAATAGTTCAAGATACGTTACCTCAAACACACTATGATATGAAAGGTTGTACAATACTTACATTCAAAGAAGATTTGCCATTGTTAAAGGAAAAAATAACAGAGTATTTCGACAACTTCAAACAAGTAGGGTAAATTTCAATCTTTATTTTTCAAGCTTGACCTTTACATTCTGCCTGAGGAAGTCTTTAACAAGCTCGTTAATTTCAATTAGATAAATTGCTTCGTCTAAGGGGTCAAGCTCCATACTGAGTCAGTACAATATTGTACTTTTTCAAGACAATGTTGTACTTTTTCAAGACAATGTTGTACTTTTTCAAGACAATATTGTACTTTTTCAGAACAATGTTGTATAAATTCAGTACAATATTGTACTTTTTCAGAACAATGTTGTATAAATTCAGTACAATGTCTCTCAAATTTGAGTACAGCTGTACTTTTTCAGAACAAGTCTTGAACTTTTTCAGAACAATGTTGTACTTTTTCAAGACAATGTTGTACTTTTTCAAGACAATGTTGTACTTTTTCAAGACAATGTTGTACTTTTTCAAGACAATGTTGTACTTTTTCAAGACAATATTGTACTTTTTCAGAACAATGTTGTATAAATTCAGTACAATATTGTACTTTTTCAGAACAATGTTGTATAAATTCAGTACAATGTCTCTCAAATTTGAGTACAGCTGTACTTTTTCAGAACAAGTCTTGAACTTTTTCAGAACAATGTTGTACTTTTTCAAGACAATGTTGTACTTTTTCAAGACAATGTTGTACTTTTTCAAGACAATGTTGTACTTTTTCAAGACAATGTTGTACTTTTTCAAGACAATGTTGTACTTTTTCAAGACAATGTTGTACTTTTTCAAGACAATATTATATTGTTTCAGAACAAAGACGGTTAAGACACAAACGAATGTCCGACGTCCCACCTACTGAATGCCTTCCAAAGCCAGAAGAACCGAAAGCTGCAGCACCACAACAGACTAAGACTCAACACTTACATTTTTTACGCTTGACTTTTTACAATTTGAACTTTGTTTGCGTAGATATGAATTCTGAAAGAAGTATGAGGGTCTTGTATGACTTTGTACTTCTCCCATAGTTCATGTCTGTCAAACTTACCTGCCATGGACTCTTTCATAAGTTCCATGAAATCGTCTTCGGACAATCCAGGGAAGAGTATAATGTCAGTAAGTATTCTTTTAACATCCTTACTTAAACTCTTTGCTGTCTGTACACAAATGACAACTGAGATGTTAAAGTGTCTGAGCTTCTTAAGAATTCGACACATGTCTTGTTCTCTGTTCTTTAACAAAGGATGAGAAGCAAAGTCATCTAAGATAAGAAGACATCTATGAGGGTACGTTTTCCAATCGTAAGATTGCAATTTCTTCGAAATGTATTCTATCTCTTTCTGTTTGTTTCTGAAGTGTTTCTTCTCTAATATTCTCTGCATTTCCTCATTTGGGTCTTTAAACTTCGAATTGACATACTCATTTATAGCATTGTACTTCAAAACTCTTCTTTGGTACTTCTTTATCCAATCCAACAACTCAGAGTCTTTTATACATACTAACTTAGACTTCTTTATAATATCTTTGAACGAATTGACGGTTTGATCGAATTGACCAGAAGTACTACAAATAACAACTAACTCATAGAATGGGTTCTTCTCATCTAGTTCTTGTTGTTGTGCAGCCATTTTAGATAAGTGAAAGTCTTACCCGACCCAGGTGGTGCGATTAGACCTGTTATATACCATTCTGAGCAAATAAGAACTTGTCATGTATGGGTTTTATCTGAGCATTTTCCAACTTCCTCTTGTTCTTATTTAAAACATTCTCAAATTTCTTGTCAATGTCAGCAAACTTTTTTTCTAACATATTTTTAGAAAAATTAAAATTTTTATCTTTTAGAAAATGTCTAGCGATTTCGCTATCTATATTCGAGACAAGCTTTTTGACTCTAAAACTTCTGTCGACCATAAAATCTTACATAGTGTAAACAAGAAAGGTGAATTTGTTCTAAAGTTCTGTTTCTGGGAATATGACAAGAACCATAAAACATTACAAAGAGCAGTCTTAAAATTTGTCAATGACAGACTTGTTGACAGAGATGACGCCGATTGGAAAGATGAAGTCCAACAAAAGTTCTTAGAATGCAAAGAAGGCACATGCGCTGTTCTTGAAGATGAAATAGAAAACAGAATAGAAGAGCTATTAAAGGACAAAGAACTTTTACAAAAATATGGTTCTGAGAAGTTTGACATAACCCCACCAGAAAAGAAGAAGAAGAGAGAAAAGAAAGAAAAGAAAGTAGAAGAAGAGAAGAAAGAACCTGAACCAGAGAAGGTGAGATATGACATGTAAAAATAAAATTTTATTTTTAGAACATTTCTGGGTCAATGTCAATGTTCTCTTCCTCTTTAGGAGCAAACACTGGCTTAGACTCTAAAATCTTTTTACCTAATTTACCCTGAACTTCAACTATCTTAGACTCATAATATTCATAGTCGTCTGCTTTCTTTGGTTCATAAGGTATAACAAGTTTGTATGCTTTGCCTTCTTTAAGGTTTGAGAACCTTCTGTCAAAATTTTCTTTGACTGCTAACAAACCTTCTATGTCTAAGTCTTCAAATTTCGCACCATTTTTAGTCACAATAGCAAACTTAACGGGTTCGATGTTCCAAACTTTGTCAAATGAAGACTTTTCAAAATGGTAGAAGTAAACATTCAAATATGTGAATGGGTCTAGTTCTTCTTTAAGTCCTGACATATATTTGTTGACTGAAATATATTTCGTCATCTTTTCTATCGGATAAAAAAATATTTTTTTTTTAAAAACGTTTTAAAATGGTATGCCATATAGCTTCTTGAATTTGTTAAGAAGTATTTTAACGCATTTTCCATCTGTATCTCTAGCGTTTACAAAAGCATAGTCTTCCTTAGTAAAACATACTTGTAATTTTCTATAGTTTACGCCGGTATAAAAGTAGAAAGAGTCCTGTTCTTCGCTGTAGTAGTAAAACTCAAGCGTATGCTTACCATAGTCTGTAATTTCAATTGCTTCATCTTCTAGTTCGTCGACAAATTCGAATACAATATCTCGAAATTTGCTTTTGTTCTTATTGTTTTCAGAACGAGTAACCCAACGTAAATTTTCAAGTCTATTGTCATTTCTTATACGGTTTATATGGTCTACAAAAGGTAGATTGTTAGGGTTCGGTATAAAATGAGTTGCAATGACAACATGTTTAAGATAGTTTTTTCCACCCATCTTCATCCTAGCATATCCTTTATTTTGCTCCCATTCGCTTAAAACTCTTTTTGTCTTTTTGTTTCTGACTTCAAATGACTCACAACAGTGAATTTCATATTTCTCATCTAACAAACAAGTTTCCCAACGGTCTTCTCCAACAAACTCAGCGTACATTTCAAATAAAATAAAAAAATATTTTTTTAAAATTTACTCAGAAAAATTTTTCTTTGTATATACGCCGTTCTGTATGTCTAAAAGATTTTTGACATTTGCCAAGAATGTTCGTTTAGAAGCTGTCATATAACCATATTCTTGACAATATTGTTTATATGAATCGTACAATGACCTTTCATCTAAACACTCAAAGTCAGTTTCATCTATGAACAGTTCATATACACTCTTGTTTGCTTCTAACAATGTTTGTCTCTCTTCGGTATATGGAATTTGTCTTGGATTGAACTTAGAAATATCTAATGTCATAAAGTATGAGAACAAGTGGTTGTAAAAGTCAGATGTCAAAGTTTCTGCTAAGTCGTCAAAATATTCTGTATCTTGCATATGAGAATCTGACGTTCTGACAACTACATATCTTCTGTCAGAACTTTCTAACTTCATCGGAACAGAATTGTTTGAAAACCATAATGAAGTTTGCAACATTTTCACAAACTCTTTGGTCTTTATACTTTCTTTCAAACAACTCCAACTTTGTCTGTTATAAGACTCTTCAAAGCATCTGAGTTCAAAACTTTTGTTGTATCTATACTTTGAAGTTCATTGCAAAACTATAAGTTTCATATTCTCTATTGAAGAGTTAAATTTACCGCAGATGTTTTCTAAGTTTGTCATATTAGGGTTCGAATAACCTTCTAAACAGTTTGCATAAGATATCTGTAAAGAATGTGTTCTTACCTGTTCCTTGTTTTCCAATTATAATGAGAGCAGTTTCATTTTTAGCACTTGGATGTTTAAGATATTTGCAAACCAACATAAGATATACTCATAGACTCTTTCGTTTCCATTGCATATAATTTCTTTGACATGGTCTAACCAAGCTTCTATAATATTTTCTTTCCATTTCTACTTGTTCGTATTTTATATCCAGTGAAGATAGAATAGAAGTTTGGAGATGGTGTATAGAACTTTATACCACGAACTGAAAAATCTTCTAACTTGACAATAAGATATCCCAAGCATCTAACATCTTCATACCAACTTGTACGACTTTTATTTTCTTAAGTTTCTGTCTACATTCTTGTTCTGAAACTATTGTCGCTCTTGGTTGTTAAAGACAACATCCCATTCTTTCATGACATAACATTCTGGGGCAGAGTCGACATAAATGACTAAACGTTTCAAATTCTCGACTGCTTTGTTATAGTCTCTAAATGGACACATATTTCTGAACGCTTGAAGTCATAAAAATCTGAAACATCTATTCTGTACATTTTTATAAAAAAAAAAAAATATTTTTTTTTTATTCTTGACTTTGTTGTTCCATTTGTTGTTCTTGAGCTATTTGTTTTTGAAGTTGTTCTGTAATACAATACTTTCACCGGTTTGCATCTTCCAATTCGAAACTTTCTGCCGTCATTGACAAATACATAGGACATAAAAGTTTTACAGGAACAAAGTTTGCGTCAACTAAGGTTAATTTATGTTTGCTAAAGTGTTTGAGTTTACTAAAGCTGAAAATTCTGCATTCGAATGAACAATAGGCAAACCAGCAAGAAAAGTGTTGTTTATACGCATGAGTATCTTTTGGTCATAGTAGTTTCTGTCGACATTCGAATAGCACTTTAACCTAAGTTTGAAACAATATATAAAATAGGTGTACTTAAAGTCAATGGAACAGACAAACCTTGTATGACACCTTTTCCTGTTATAGGAAACTGTTGGTAGTAAAAACCAGATATATAGTTTTGTATTATAGCTCATATCGTTTATACTAAACTCAGTCGGACATCCAAACATAATGAAATGCTCTAGTTGCAGCACATGTTACATCCGTCCTTAAAGTATTAAATAAGTCAACAAAACCTGTTGGTGGTATATCTGAGTAAGTATCTTCAAAGAAGTATTTTTTACCATTCACAACAACAAAGTCTTCTGGTGTCAAAAGAGCAAAACAGGCTTTAGTCGTCATTGTGTTTAAAGTTAGTTTACAATATCGTCCTTGAGGACTTTGTAAGTTTGTTGTTATAGAATTATATGACTCAGGGTTTTTAGTCGTAATAGTATAAACCACTATGTCTTCTGCCATTTACTTAGCAACTAAATTTTAATGAAATGTTGTGGTCGTCAAATATTTTTATAACGTCTGGGAAACTATATTTTAAGTTCAACGTTTCACCTCCTTTCATAACGTATATCTTGTCAATGACATTATATGAAACACCAAGCAAGCAATGTCGGGCTCTATTTCTTTGATGTTTAATCGTCTGCCTCTGTCAAAAGTTTCAATAGTTCTTTCAAAATTTCATGAGGTGCGATGACATATGAGTTCACTTTTACAGGGTTTGTTCGACCAAGTTTAACATTATATACCCAAAGCTTGACAAATCTTCTCCTGAGTTTTAAGTTTGTCTTTAAGTTGTTGGTAGTCGTTTCGAATATCTGCAACAGAACTTAAGTCTCTGCTAACTTCAGGATATGTTGGTTGTTCTTTCACAGGAACAATTGTTATATCATCTTCGTCTTCGTATGGTTCCCCACTTCAACACTCTTTTCTTTGACATTGACAACAACACTTTGACTGTTTGTTTGAGTTGGTGAATTTAACTTCACATCTGCCACCGCCATTAAACCTTTTGAAACACTTACGCTTCTATTTTTCGGAAATGACATTTTACTTAGAATAAAAAGATGGACGTATTTGAGTATCTCTTCGAATTGAAGCAAAACAAAGTTTACACACACAAAATACAAGTTCATTGACAGAGTAGTTCTTTACACAAACAATGGAAAATGTTATAGAATAGCAGTCTTTGCTGAACCAAAATATTTTCATAAAGCAAAGAAAGTTGGTATAACCGAGATGGTGAAAGTTCTTGACGTTGACAAAAATATAACAACAAAACTGACCGATATTTCTAAAGGTAAGTTTATAATACAATTTTATGTCAAAACTGGCGTACTGTCAATATTTGACGGAGAGAAGTCAGTTCAAGAACAACTTACTGACCTGCTGCCAAAATCTGCTCGATGGAAGCTGTCGTTATGCCAATCTGAGGAGCCCCAGCAGGTTTCATCGAACGAATCTTCAAAAGAGCATCTTCGTGAAAAGTGCTATTGGTTTTGTAAACTTCTTTGCTTTCAATTCATTTGGACCGTCTCTGTCACCAGTATATTGTATTTGAACTGTACCAACAGTTGAAATACCACCCATAAAGTCTTCTGAGTCAGCAAATGGAATGCCAAGCCAAAAGTTTGAACGGTCTCCATTTGTATATTGAGTGTTTTGAGCTCCTGTATGGGTCCATACTTTCACATATGGCATAATAGAACTTTGCATTTCAGGGTTAATGGTTGTTGTGAAGTTGTTGTTAAAGTTCATAGCATCTAATGTCAAGTTGTATGACCTCATATCCTCAACTGTAGAATATTCTTCTCTTGGATAATATTTGCCATCTATGTTTATATGATATTTAATACCAGGGTTGTAGAAGCAAGAATAGTCATTTATAGTTCGTCTGAACAGTACAAACATAGTATCTGCATGTTTCATTGCAGTTGTTAAGGCAATATCTGTTCTTGCACCTGGGTCAGCACTTTGGTTTCCAACTTCACCTGCAAAGTCTTTGACAGATATTTGGTGTATAGGGAACATAAGTGGAACTGCAATATATTTGGCAGCTAAAGCATTTGAAATATCTGGGTCCAACATATAGACTGCAAGTCTGCTTTCTATTCTCTTGCATTCAAATTTTTCGCATGTGAACTTAACTGGGTCCCAAGCATCTCCAGCAGCATTGAAATAATAGTTTACTTCAGTGTTGAGGTTTGAGAAACCAAAGTCTAAGTCAACTTTGTTTTTGCAAAAGTCGGCGAATGACATTTTATTTGTTCCCACTACTTCTGTAAGAGTGAATGGGTCTTGTGTTGGTGCAATGACTAAGTTATTTTTGCTTGGAGTAAGTTCGATAGAAATTTTCCTGCCCAGTTTGGCAAGTATCTTAAAAACCTGAAGATGAGGAAAGATGACAAAGGAACTCTAAGTTTCAGTTTTACTTTGGTTACTGCTGCTGCAGTTTGTCCAGAAAGGTTAACATAAACTCCTGGAACGTTAGGGTCAAGTTCTTATTTTCTCAATAGTTGCATACTGGTCTGTTTGTTCTCTAGCTTGTGGTTGTACTGAGTTTCTCAAAGCGAACCATTCATAGTTTGCCCATGTTACTGTTTGAACTAAGTCAGAGTTAGAATATATCTTATATCCCATGAAAACTTCTGGAGCATATTGGTATCCGACATAGAAAATTCCATTGCAACCTTTCTGTCAGACAACTTGGTAGAAGGTTTTTTTCAATGTCTTGTTCCACGTATAAGAATGAGTTGTCAATAGAAATAATATGAAACCTGTCGCAAGCAATATCTACTGTTGTTGAAGAACCTTCTCCAAACTCACCTACGTTTCCATAAGAAACAGCAGTTGTATATTCGTAAGTTCCAGGAACTATTTCTGACCTTCTAATGGATTGTCGCATTCGTTATACCATTCGGAAACATTTCCATTCATAGCATCCAAAACTGTTGGCGTTATATTCTGAGCGGCGTACATTTCATATGAGTAAAAATATAGAATAGTTGGATTTATATGTCATAATAGAACCCACTCCGACCAAGCTTTACTTTCTTCCTGACTGAGTTTTTAACTCTTCTTTTTCCTTCATTGCCCTCTGCTTGAAGTTGTTGCATCTTTGCATTATGTTCATCTAGTATGTTGCAAATTTTCCATGTCCTTTTTGCCTTTTGGCTCTGGTCGCCCATCTCAGGTAACCTATATCCTAGAAAGAGTTTGTCATAGTCTGTATTTGAGTCTTCGCGTATTGTTTGCATGACTCTTTCCTGAGTTTCCGGTTCAAGCTCTTCAAACAGTGCCTGTCCATATGGAATATGCTCGTTTCCAAATATATGTTTTTGTAGCCATTCTGGTTTTCTTTCCATGTTACCAAACTATATCTTTTGTGAATGGGAAAGCTTCTACCAATCTTTCAGTCTTGCGTCGTTTATTTCTGTAGTTGGTTTTATTTTGTCAAGGAACATGTTTTCAATACTAACATTTCATTTGGTACTGTCCATTTGAGTTTTCTTAAATATTCATCCCTTCTCGGTTCATTGTCTGCAAAGTAAGTTTTTATGACATTTTGTAAACTTTCGTTTGCAAGGTCATGTACAATAGGTTCTCTTCCTTCTCCCTCCCTAACTTTCTTTCTAAACTCTTCACCAAATATACCATCTCTATGGTTCTGTGTAGTTCTTTGAGATAAATGTTTTAGAACGTCAGGTGTTATATTTCCATCAGCCATGTTCATTTCATACTGGTCCAAAATATCTGCATGTTTCATATCTTTCAATGGCATTAAAGCCGCGCTGAAAATACCAGCTATATCTGGTTCACCATTCACTTCCATTGCGTCTACAACTTCTTGGAATTGAGGTTGTAAGTTTATGAACCACCTATCCGGGTTAGCTTTATGACCCCATCTCATTGTAGTTCCATCGTCTGCAGAAACAAAAGTAGGTTTGTTTCCATCTTGGCTAGGTTCTGAATGAACTTTAAACAATGTTTCATTTCTATATGTTTTCTTGAAATTTAACCTTTTATCTTCACCGAGTTCATCCGAAGATTGAACGTTAAATGCTCGTAAGTAAAAAGGGTTGTTGTATTTGTGTACATTTTTTTTCAGTACTTCCATTCTATGCTGAATATTTTCATCTGGTGTTGGAGTCTTTTGTATGTCGGCAAACATTTTCGATATTCTTCTACTATGTCAGCCGAATTTTTTTTAGACTCCTGGAAATATTCCATATTCTCCGCATACTCTTGTTGAGGGTCAAGATTTTTCGGCTGTTCCAAATCTTCATCTAGTTCTGTGAGGTTAGTTTCCAAAGGAGTGACTTGTTCGTTTCCTTCAGGCTCTTCTAGCTGTTGTTGCTGAACTATTTCTTCCATGTCTGGTTGTATCTGAACTATTTCTTCCTGTGGAGTTTCTTGTACCTCATCTGCTGGCATTTCATATATTCCGAGACCGTTTTTAACAATTTCCCTATCTACGTCATCCGCATTCATAAGCTTTTGTTCTTTCGTTCCGTCTCTATTTTTTACGCGTTTCATGACGAAAGTTGTATTGTCATTTAGCTCTGACATCAAATATCTCGGAGTAAATTCGTTCATGTCATTTGGATGATATGCTATTAAATCATATCCCTTAGCGAGCTTGTATTTTCCAGGTTTGAAATTATATCCGTTTTGGTGCTGAGCCATAAAGCTAAATAGGTTCGGGTCAGTATTTCCATCCTTGAACTTTCCAATAGCTTCTTTATATCTGTCACTAAAGTCAATAGTATCTGGGAAACCACACTCTTCTTTAAGCATTTTTAAGAATTCTTGGTTTCCTTGTTCTCTACTTCTTTTATGTCCTTGCTCTGTTTGTGGTTGTTGTGGTGCAGTGTTTTGAACTGTTGGTTGTGGTGCAGTGTTTTGAACTGTTGGTTGCTGTGCAGTGTTTTGAACTGTTGGTTGTGGTGCAGTGTTTTGAACTGTTGGTTTTGGTGCATGCCTATGTCTGTGTCCATGTGACGATGTAAATGTTTTAGGTAGTCCTGGTGCAGGTGCTTCTCTTGGAGGGTTTGGTGGTATATAAGTTCCACTAGCTAGTATATAAGTTCCACCAGCTGGTATATAAGTTCCACCAGCTGGCACATATGTTCCATCTGCAGCGTAATGTCCTACCTGACTTTTCGTTTTTAAGAAAGCATTTACTAGGTCTGTTTTGGTCTGTTGTAACTCTTTTTCTTGACTTTTCACAACAGTTGCTCTAACGGCGTCATAGGCACTTTGAACTGCCTGTCTCGTTGCTGCATCTGTTATTTTCGTCATATTTTGTGCTACTTCCTTTAACTCTTTGTCGAAACCTTCAGACTTCAGTTTCTTTCCAGATGAGAAGTCGTTCACTTGTTTCACCTTACTATGAAGAGCTTCGAAAGCGTTCTTAAAGTCAGCATTTGTTAAAGCTTCATTTGAACTATCTTCATCCGCTTGTATTTTTGTCCTTATTGACCCTATGAGTTGGGCTGCTTTAGCGTTGGCTTGGGCATCTAACCAGTCATTGTTAGCTTTTATATATTCTGCGCTTTTCATTGCCTTTTGCATAGCCGCGTCGTTATTTTTACTTTCTTGTGCTAAGTTTTCATACTGTACGGTTTGGTTTTGCAACTGTAAAAGTTTTTCTGCCTTTACATTTGCTTCAACTTCTTTTTTATACTCATCGCTATCCATATATGTCTTCAGGGCTTTTTGTTTTATCTCTTCATCTTTCAGTACTTTATATTGAGTAGTATGGTTTTTCAAATTTATAACATCTTGTTCCATTTTTGCTACTTCTGCTGCTTTTTCTGACACTTTTTTCGCATATTCCTCTGTACTTAGTTCTTTCAGTTGTTCTTCTTTCTTCTTTTTCTCTACGTTTAACTCATTGAGTTTCTTTGTGTGTCTGTCATATTCTAGTTTCTTTTCGTTTTCACTTATTTGCTTCTGTATGTCTATGTTTGACTTTTTGACATCTGTTATTTGATTTTTGAGTGAACTCAAATTCATTTGACTTTGAGGGTTATAGGCTGTTCCGTCTGCAGCTCCACCATAGCCTGCCATTTTCGCTAAAAGTGCCGCTCTTAAACCTCCACTCTGTGCACCAACAACTCGGTTTAAAAGCATAGGATTGCTTGACATTTGTTGCAACATAGGGGTCATTCATAATTTGTTGTTGCAACTGTTGTTGTGGTGTCAGTTTTACTATTGGATGTTTCAATGCTCTCTTCCTCTTACGTATATTCTTACGTAGCTTACGTGGCATTTTAAGTGAAGTTAAAAAGCGGTTTTTGACAGATGTTTTGTTGTGACTTCTTCGTAAAGACTTTCTTGTCTATGTTTTGTAAAGACTTCTTCATCTAATTTCTCATGAACTTTCTTGTCTATGTTTTGTTATGACTTCTTCGTAAAGACTTTGTTGAGACTTCTTCGTAAATGACCAAAAAATAATGTTTATGTTAGAATGTTAAATCTAACACCTTTTCTAACATGTTTTCTAACATCGTAGAAAACTCATGAATTTCTTCGTAAAGACTTTGTTAAGACTTCTTCATCTAATTTCTCATGAACTTTCTTGTCTATGTTTTGTTAAGATTTCTTCGTAAAGACTTTGTTAAGATTTCTTCGTAAATGTTTTGTTGAGATTTCATCGTAAATGACCCTAGTAGTATATTTTTGGTGTAAATTTCATGAAAATTCAAGAGTTTTAGACCATGTTAGAAAACATGTTAGAAAAGGTGTTAGATTTAACATTCTAACATAAACATTATTTTTGGGTCATTTACACTCATGAACTTTCTTGTCTATGTTTTGTTAAGACTTCTTCGTAAAGACTTTGTTAAGACTTCTTCGTAAAGACTTTGTTGAGATTTCTTCGTAAAGACTTTGTCAAGATTTCATCGTAAAGACTTTGTTGAGATTTCTTCGTAAATGTTTTGTTAAGACTTCTTCGTAAAGACTTTGTAAAGACTTCTTCGTAAAGACTTTGTAAAGACTTCTTCGTAAAGACTTTGTTAAGACTTCTTCATCTAATTTCTCATGAACTTTCTTGTCTATGTTTTGTTGAGATTTCTTCGTAAATGACCCTAGTAGTATATTTTTGGTGTAAATTTCATGAAAATTCAAGAGTTTTAGACCATGTTAGAAAACATGTTAGAAAAGAGGTTATATCTAACCTTCTACCCTAAACATTATTTTTGTCTGATTTTACGATGAAGTTTTGACAAAGTCTTTACGATGAAGTTTTGACAAAGTCTTTACGATGAAATCTTGACAAAGTCTTTACGATGAAATCTTGACAAAGTCTTTACGAAGAAGTCTTGACAAAACATGAAAACATATATAATTTGTGAAAAGCTCCTGGAAGACCTCCGAATAAAAACTTCATTTATGTGGGCTAGAAGGCACGAAGTGCCTGGAAGACCACCCCAAGAAAAAAAAACTTCATTATACTCATTCATCCTCAGGGCTAGAAGGCACGAAGTGCCTGGGAGCCCCACTACCTTTTTTTTTTTTTTTTTTTTTTTTTTTTTTTCTTCGCCATGCAAGAGTTAAGTTTTATGCATCGTCAGATCAGATGAGGTGTAATTTATTTTGATCTGCCGGTTTTGAATTAATACATCATTGAATTCGACTTTTTCAATTAAATTTTATAAAATTGATAGGTGAGAATGTGGTTGGGAAGGTTTAAAGGAATTCAAATAGAATATAAACAATTTGAGTTATCTAGTGTTTTGACTTTGATTAAATAAAAAGTAATTTATTCAAAAATTTTGTTTCCAATTTTATTGTTTTATATTATTTATAACAAGAAACATCAAAAAAATCGGAAAGTAAAATAAAAAATAATTTAATATGGCAGTAAAAAATATAATTATGATTTTTTGATATGAAAACATTGAGAACTAGAATTTTTTTGTAAAATGGATCATGTACATTAGATTAAAATTATACATTTAACATATTTATTCTATTTTCAGACATCTGAAGGAGAGATTAATTTTTTTAATCAGATGATTCATATTATTTTTGCATGTCATATAAAAATCTAATGAATAAATTCCAAATCTTTAATTTCAATTATCCAATTTCTTTCTAGGATGCTTTTTTGTATATATTTTTATTAGAGTTTCATGGTTAGAAAATTGATACAGATACATACGTAAGTTGTGAATGATTATATCGAATTTTAAATCACAAGAAAAAATTGCAATTAACTGCATGAAACTTCTAGAAGAATCATCTCCACTACATGCCATTTTCTAAATAGAGATGCTTAAATAATTTTTAATAAATCCTTATAATCACCTATTTGATTCACCACGGTATTATTATTTTCATTTTAAAAAGGTTTTAAACAGGAAATATTTAGAATTGAAACCATTTTGTTTATTGTTTTTCAATGTTTCGAAATATTAAAGTAAGTGACTATGACAATCAGCTACACTTTGGTAGTATAAATTTAGATAGGCACACATATACAGTAATTGCTCAGATCATAGTCTTTTTATTTTCATTTTATGTATATCAAAACATCTTTTTAAAAGGATCAGAATATACAACCAAGAGAAAAGAATTTTCAGTAGCAATAGATAATTACACCGATGAATTTATGATGAACAACATTATAAAATTAGATAATTTAAACCAGAAAATAAAAAACATTGAATTAATAGCTTCACTTCAAAGCGAATCGAATACAAATAATAAAGCTTTAATCACCATTGCAAAATCAATTAGTTATCTTCGTCATAATTATACAATTGATGAATCTAACGTATCAGAGAACACCGAAACACTCAAATTTTCAGATGCAGGACAGAATAGTAACATTTTAAACTTATTTAATAATATAAATGTCACAAATTTTGATCAAATTCATTTTCATGTTTCATTTAGTGGAAAACTCCAAAAAATTAAGTCGGCAACGTTTTATTACGCATATGAAGAATACAATAATATTACAGGTATTGACTACTCCACGTTTATTTTACCAATAATTTTGTTATTTTTATTCTACCAATTCATTCACAGATATCAACAAGATATAAACATACGACAAACAGTTCATTGCACTGTTTTCTCATTCATTTGCATTCTTTCTTCATTTCCAATAGAAAATTTTGTTTCAAATGAAATTTACCAAAATTACAGTGTAATATTCTCATTACTTACATATTCTTATGCTCGAGATTTCATAATCAGCATACTTTTTTCATTTTTTGAATTGCAAAATATGATATTAGTTTGTATTCCTGAAATTTACCATGCATTATCAATTGTCAACTATATATCACTTATTAAAATGTATTATTTACCCAACTCAAGTGAATTTTATCATATTTTTGCTGGAATTACATTAATGGTTGAGCTTTTCTTATTCGGAATACTTGTTTCAGCATGTATAATTATATATAGAGGAAGATTCTTCAACAGAGTTGTGTTTTTGATTTCAATTGAAATAATTAATTTTATTTACGGATTAGTTTTCATTCTTTCTGCTGATCGCTTAGAAATAATGACGAAACACATTTTTGACAGATCTATTGTATCGACATATTCTGTTGTTTCTATTTTAATTTTGTATTGTTTCCTTCCTTCTGATATTACTGAGTATAATCAGTTATCAAGGTCTCTCGAGAGACAAGGCCGCGTTTCTCTTATGGATGATAATGAATTGCAAGTTGTTCAGATAGAATAAAGATAAATTCTTTTGTTTCATAATTTTTTTTATTTGAAGCAACTTAAATATATAGCAAAGATAACAATTATTATTTTTCGATGTAGATGTCGTTATTATATTATTTTAGATACATCGAAATTGCATAATAAACTAAGGAATATTCTTTATAATACTCTTGTGATACTTTAGATTACATAATATATTGTTGAACTTAACCAGGGGCTCAGAACTACATACTCGGTGCAAATGACCATGATTATATATTTCTCATGTAATATCAATTTGCATGAGTAACTCTGACTAAAAAATCAAAAATCTATAAACATGTTAGAAATCTCCAATATATCAAAAGAAGATGACAATGTTTAACTAAATAATCTTAATAAATTTATACATCATGTCTTGTACAATATATCATCAATATCAACTATTCTCTAAATGTCTATACAAGGTCAATAAATGTACCAAAGTAACACAGGATTTTATATAGAAAGAAAATGCAGGGGGTAACACCTCAATCAAGACCGTTTGGTCAGGAGACTTAAAATCTTAGTGACAAAACTGCGTAGAACATTTAGTGATCATTTGAAATCATTGGCTTGCTATTCGAAATTAAAATATTCATTCAAGGTAAAATAAAAACCTTAGTTTCCTAAATTCAAGGCGCATCTCTTGTTATGAAATTGTAACATTTTTTTTGATACATTATGATCCTTCAGGTGAATAAAACCCGATTTCTCTCCCGAAGTTCTGCCTTTTAAATTGAATTGAAAATTTTCAATTATTGTAATTTTTGAATTGCCTTAATTTTTTGAATGTTCTGAATTTTGGAACAATTCACATTTCATTTTATCAGGACGTTGGACAGACTGTTTACTCCAATTAAGATAAACAATTGCATAATACCAAACAGGTTCATGAAGTCACCGACTTATATGCACGATTGCGACTCTAATGGATTTGCCATTCAAAAATATCAAAAGTATTATAGAGATCTTGCAGACGGAAAGATGGGGCTTATCACGCTTGGATTTTTTGCAACACATTTGAAAACAAAAGTTCTCCCTGGTCAAGCATGCTTGCATACTGATGCCCATGCAGAAGGATGGCGTGAAACTATTAACTATATCCATTCGAAAGGTTCAAAGACATTAATGGAACTTTCAGATTGTCGCAGCTCAATAAAGGATGGCAAATTCATGCCAACTTCTGAAATTTCTGAAGCAATTGAGCTTTTTGTCAATGCTGCAAAGAGAGCACAAAATGTTGTTGCTGATGGTGTTGAAATTCATGCAGCCCATGGATTATTCATCTCTCAATTTCTTTCATTAGTTATAAATAACAGAGGTGATCAATATGGCGGAAGCTTTAAAAACAGAATTCGCATTCTTCAAGAAATTGTTGATTCAATTCGCTGTGAATGTGGCAAAGATTTCTTTGTCGCCGCCAAATTGAATGCTTATGACTGCATTGAAGGAGGAAATAAGCCCGAAGATGCTGCAAAGATAAGTGGCACAGTTAAAGATATTGATCTTTGGGAATATTCTTTCGGTTACAAGGGTGCAAAGGAAATAATTGATCCATCAAAGTTGATTCCTCTTAAAGCAGGATGGAACATCAAAGCCTTACCAATATTAAGAAAAGGAACTGATGCCAAGATTTCAATTGTTGACCGAATTAGAACAAAGTCTAGTATGGTCAAGGCAATGGAACTCGGTTCAGATCTCATTTCATTTGGCCGCCCAACAATTGTCGACCCATTTATGGTTCAACACTTAATGGAAGGGAAGCCAATAAAGTGCATTTCATGTAATAAATGCATGGAACATCTCCTCATCATCCCAACTAAAAAATAATATTAATTCATTTGTTTTTCTACTATTGGGCCATGAAATAAGATGCCTTTGCGTGAAAAATGTGTAATTATAACATAAAACAAACTTGAATTCATAAAAATTGATGGAATTGAAAGATTTACAAGTTTAAGTTTATTATAAATTAATATAACATCGATTAAATTCAATACACGGAAACTTTAAAGGCGCACTAACAAATCCTTGATAACGGGCGTGAATTATATAATTATATTAAAGCTTGAGTGCATCCTTAAGATTAATTATAATATTTGGATTTCTTGATTTGCAGATGATTCACAAAGTAATGCTGCAAGAATGTTTATTGAAATCTTTGAAGCAGCATAATACAACGGGCCAAGTGATTCATCCAAAACAAGTTCGAAATTAAAAATAGATAAAGTGGAATTAACAAAACAAACAGCAAGTTCTCTTTGACATTTCATTGATATCTCTTCTGAAATATTTTCTTTGTTTGGAATAATAAATGGAATTGATTGAAAGACATTATCACTGAACATTGGAAGAATAAAGAGATCTTCCTTATTTGGACATAGTTTATCACTTACTTTTTCCCAATCTATTCGCCTCATTTGATCTTCAAAATGAATTATTTGTTTTGGCAAATAAATATCAGAAAATTCTCTAATGAGTGTTGCTGATACAGAAAGGGGTCTTCCTTTGAGTTTTTCATAGACTTTTGAGTGAATTTCGCGATCAATTTGATCAGATTTTTCTTTCGGAAGCCACATTACGTAAGATGAAGCTTCAGGTATTTCTTTTTCTTCATCTTTAATAAAAACAATCATAATCTTCTTGAAACCTGCATATTCAAGTTTAATTTTGATTTCATCTGCTGATTTCTGATTTTCTTCATCAAAAACAACTACACAAATACTAAGAGGAATTAATGTTCGTGCATTCGGGATTAATTCAGTTCTTGATGGCTCAAACTTTGTCCATTTCTCATTTTCTATAAAAGTTAAGAACATTTCGGTCTGGAATTGGAACACAATTGACATTTTGCTTGATAATGCAAATAAAGAGAATGGAAGTCTTGAAGCACAAAGAATTTCTGGCAAATTCAAGCGATTTGATAATAATGCAATTTGTTGTTCATTATAGACCTTAATATTAGCACTTTGAACAATATGTTTGTATTTCTGTGCAATTAATAAGCAGAACAACTCTAAATCTTCGGTATTAAGTTCATCAATTATGAGAAAAACCAAAGGAATCAAGTTTTCTATGACTATTTGAGAGATGTGCTTAACAGGTATTCGTTTAAGGATATTAAGAGCTGTTGCGAGTGTCAATTCTGTTAGAGGAAGAACAATTTCACTTTTTCTTATTGAAATCTTGAATTTATCTAAGAAAGAAAGGAATTTTGCATGAGCTAAATAATCTTTGACTGTTATATTATGGACTAAATGTATAGTTTTCCTATCATTAATTGAGATATTCAATTTTTCAAAGGATTTCAAGGCCAAGAGTATTGTTTTAACGTCAAATGAGTTTTTGAGAAGCTCAAACTGCTCTTGATTTTGAGTTCCTATTGAATTTATAACATCAATTGCAAATAATTTGTAACCAAATGAATTTTCTGAGTTATCTATTGCATTAATGAATTCTTGGATTATTTCTTGACTTAAGTTATTTCTATTATTCAGCATCCAAGTGAATAAAATTTGAGAATATTTTGGATCTGGTGTTTTGAAGACTTCTTTGAGCTGATCAAATCCAAACTCTGGAATGTACTTCGAAAAATCGGATGCCAAGATGAGATCTAAGTAATTATCATAAGATTTGATTTGTTCCGCAGCAATTGTAAAGCAATGAATAAAAATATCAGTTGGGTTTGTTTTGATTTCTTTCATAGCGAATCTTAATATCTCTAAAATCTGCCTGAATTCTAATTTTGACAAATCAATAAAATTATTTGAACATAATTGATGGAATATCCTTTCTCTTGCATTCATATCAGCATCGCAACATATGGCTAGAGTTGCATAAGGTGCAATACTCGATTCACATTGATTAATATCTATTTTTATAAATAAAATAAATAATCTTGGAGCATCTAAGAATTGAAGCATTTCTTGCTTACTGATAACTATTTCTTCATCATTTGGAACTATTAAATCATTGTATTGAGAATAACACCAAATTACAAAATTTTTTATATCTGAAAGCTCGTCAGACTCATCAATATTACGAGCAGCATTTCTATATCTTGATGTCATCATTTTCTTGTCTTCTTTGATTGTCATACATAAATCATAAAATTCAAACTTAAATTTATCTTCGCTTTGAATATAAGCTCCAAAAACATTAACAAGCCAATCTAAAACGAAAGCATTATTTCTTGATTTTTGTAAAAATCGTGTAATTGGCTGTGAAAATATTGGAGAATTAATAATTTGAGTAATTTCTGGAGTAGAACAAAGTATTTTGGTTGCTGTTGTCCAATCATTTTTATTGAACTCCTTTTGCATGCAATCCGAAATGAATTCAATTAATGGAATTCGTAATTTCGACAATCTGATATTTTTTATGTAAAATTTCTCAACGACTGATAATATAATAAGTGCCTGCTCAAAATTCAGTTGGTAAAGTTGAATATCTAAATTGTAACGAAGAATTTCAAAATTAATTGTTGAAGCTAAGTAATAAAGCTGAGCAAAATCATGAATATTAACATGAAAATCGATGCTTCCTATGTTTTTCGCAAAGATATCTTGGAATTTGATCGGTTGAATTAAATATTCCAATAATTCACAAGCATTTCTCCATTGAACATCAACATCAATGGTTATTTCTTTTGTAATAACTCCATCTTTTATCGAATCTGCAGTGATATTTTGCTTTTTCGGAATTATTTTATTTAACATCGAAATTGGAATGGAAATAGTATAGCTCTTATCATTTGGAAAGTTAAACTTTATCTTAGCGATGCCTGCAAATGAATTGTGAGTCGGAATATATTCGTCTAATATAATATACAACTCATTATTCATCGATATCACTTTTTTTATCTTCAAAGCTCAATAATCAAACATATTTATAAGTTTCTATTTATGGAAAACGAGATAATTCCATTTGGATACTCTAAAACAAGCTAATTTCGTGAAATAAGCACATTTTAAAGATAATTTTTGAAAATTATTGATAATTAAGAAATAAAAAACAGTTTATTGAAGGCAAAATAATTTGACGGAAGGAACAAATGAAAATTCCTTTAGTATCTTTTGAATAAGTTCATCTAATTCATTATCAATTTCAATCTTCATAAATTTATGAGCTTATATGGATTAAGATTGTCATTGTACCACATTTTTTGATAAATATTATCTACTTATCTAATTAAGGAACATCAATTGACTAAAATTGAAGTTTGAATTTTGATAATCAATCGTTAATAGTCACTTTTCGTATCGATTATTCACTGCTTTATTTAAAAATTTGGCAATAAATCAGTCAAATTATATATTTCTCAAATGATAATTTTTCTAAGGTTATTGAAATTTTTATATCGATTTTTATTTGAATTTTTTTTATTTTTTCAAATGGGATTTGGACTTAGAATAATTGACTCTCCGTTCCATCCTCATCCCAAAAATACGGATAAAATTCTTCCAACCTATCTAAATGGTTGGTTTTATATACAATTATTGACTGATACTGCAAATTCAAATTTCATTACATCATTTACAAACAATTATCAGCATGTCTTTAAAATTGATAATAGAATGTATCCTGGAATATACCTTTCTTATTTAAATCAATCTGAATTCCAACATTTTACACAACAATCTTTTATTTCGATTTGGAACAAAGAAAGTTCAAAGGCTGATCAAAAATTATCATTAAAACCAGAAGAAAAATACAACGGTAAGGCTTTCATTAAGAGATTTTTCGAAAAAACGACTAATCAAAATCTGTTATTAAAACAAAAGAAAGAGTTATACAGTGAAAAATCAATACATTCAACTTTTATAGATGCTCTTGATTCGAGATCATTCAATACCCATGTTTATAAAATTATTCAACAAAATGTAGGAACTTTATCAGTAATATTAGAATATCCCAACACTTTGAGCTTAAGTAATTACAATTTAGATATTTTTATTAAAAATGAATCCGGGAATATTATTATACCAAACAAAACAACAAATAATGATATAAATCGTTACAGTATATTAGTTCCAGATGCTTCTGCTGGTACTTACCTCGTTTTCTTATCTTCAAAAACAATTATTGAAAATTACAAGCAAGAATACAAATTATTCATTGGAGATAGTCAAAATAATCAAGTATTTAAAATAAATCAACACAAAAATCTTGGAAGAAATTGTAATTATAATTTTAATTTCAAAGCAAACTGTTTTGATAAACCAGAAACAGACAAAATAAAGGAGATAAAATTTGGTAAAACGCAAAAAAGAATTTCTCAGAATTCATGGTTTTCATTTTCGACGAAGAAAAATGAGAAATTTTTAATTTCTGTTTCTTCTGAATTTAACAGTTCATTCAGATCTTGCTTGTGTCCTTCAACAGAAACAATCGATGATTGCTACTGTCAATTTTCACGAAATTTGGCCGAAATTGGTGCTTTTTATACAGAAAATGATTCACAACTTTATTTATCTCTTTCAAGTAACGAAAATCCAAAAGTTTCAATATCAAATTCAAGTCTAAATTATAATAGAAAAAGGATTGCTAACTCTTCTCCTAAAACAAATCAAAATCTAATCATTTTAACTACAGTTTTATCTCTTTTAATCGTAACAATATCTATCATTTCATTAACAACAATAATTAGAAAAACAAACAACAACGGAAACAATCAAGAAGATCAACAAAACCAAGAAGAAACTGCTAATCAAGAGAATCAAGGAAATGAAGATCAAAATCAAAATGTGTTCCGTACCGAAATGCATCACTAGAAAAAGTGACAAAAAGTGACACTTACTCTTATTTTACGCGGCAATTTTTCTAAGTTATTTTGTTAAGCTAAATGTGTTATATATCAAATCAGCTTTATAAATATTATAGAAAAGTTTATTTTTATTTTTATTTTTAATTATTATTATTATTATTTTTTAAATTAAAAGAAAACATTAGAATTATATGGATATATTTAAATTAATTAGAATTATATGGATATATTTAAATTAATTATAAAAATAAAATTGAATATATTGAAGTTTGAGTTTATAGGTATACAAATTTTAGAGGCATTTTGGCTGAGAACTATGGTCTGCGAGGTACATGGATAGAATCAGTACCTCGCAGACTATAGTTCTCTATATGGCGCCGAAAATTTTTGGTGAAATATCGTCGCATTTCACCAAAAATTTTTCGGCGCCATAGGAAGAATTGGAGGGTGTGAGATACTATTACATGCTATAGTACTCACACCCTCCAATTATTAGCCAAAACGGCTAAAAATTGCTCACAATTGTTGAAATTGTGAGCAATTTTCAGCCATTTTGGCTGAGAACTATGGTCTGCGAGGTACATGGATAGAATCAGTACCTCGCAGACTATAGTTCTCTATATGGCGCCCAAAAAAAAATTTATGATTGTTTTTTATCAAATCTTATCCATATTATTCTATTAATGTTAATTATATTTTATCAATTATATTTTTTAAATAATAAACACAAAATCCACTAATTGAAAATTGGCGCCAAATGTCACTTTTGCTAGTGATGCATTTCGGTATGATATAATCAAAATCAAAATGAATCAATGACTCATTATAATCAAAACCAAGAAAATAAAGAAGGAAATGCAAATCAAAATGAAGTAGTTAATAAAGAAGGAAATGCAAATCAAAATGAAGTAGTTAATAAAGAAGGAAATGCAAATCAAAATGAAGTAGTTAATAAAGAAGGAAATGCAAATCAAAATGAAGTAGTTAATAAAGAAGGAAATGCAAATCAAAACCAAGAAAATAAAGAAGGAAATGCAAATCAAAATGAAGTAGTTAATAAAGAAGGAAATGCAAATCAAAATGGAATAGTTAATAAAGAAGAAAATACAAATACTAATCAAGTAGATCAAGAACAAAAAATAAATCAAAATGAAACAGAAATTCAAAATAATCCAATTGAAGTTAAAAACATATTGAATGAAGATTTACAACATAAAAATGAAATACAAACAATAGAAATGACAACTCAAAATGAAAATCAATCAGAAAATGATATGAAAGCAATTGTTAAATTGAATTCAAAAGATGTTGAAGTGAAATTTGAAGAAAGAATAAATTTGGATTCTTCGCCAAAAGAATTCGAAGATTCTAGTTCAAATCTTTCTTCAAACAGACTTGATTCTGCTGCAAAATTTGATGAAATTGTACAGAAACAAACAGATCTGATGAACTTGCAATCAAATGACACATATAATTCTAATCCGATCAATTCATTTGGTCCAAATCAAAATGATTTATTGAATTCTTTAAATATCGAATCGAACAAATTAAAGTTCGAAGAAACAAAGAAGAAATATGAATACATGAAACAAATTACACCAATGATAACAAGCGAATCCATGAAAAGTTGTCTCGATTCAGTCAAGAAATCACGTGAAGACATTTTGATTTATGAAAGAACAAGATATTTGTTGCCTTTCTTGAATCCAGAAAAATATCCAAAATCAATTCGACCTCAAAAGAAAGAACATATTCACATTTTGACACCAAAATTATTGCAATACAATGAAATATCGCCAATTTTCATGCAGCATATTTCTATTTTGATCAATTATATTCATGCTAATCCTGAGTTATTCGCTAAAGGAATTCTTGAAAGGTCAAACAAAGAAGATTTTTCTTATATAACAAATGTTTTGGTTCCAACTTTATATGGTTTCTTTGTTTCTCATGAGTATTTCTCGAATGCGTTTATATTCTATGCTCATATTGTAAGGCTTTGCAAACCAGCTGTTTGCATGCAAGTTGTCTCTCCTTATTTCTGTTCAATTGGATCATTCAGATTCATTGAACAAATCATGTCAAAATTTGCTCTAAAATTTCAAAACGAAATTGGTTTTGACAATCCACAAAAAGTTCCTTTGCTGATGTCTGTTTATGTGAATATATTGGCAGAGATGATCATTAATGACCGAAAACTTCTTCCAAGTCAAATAAAGATCATTTTATATGGTGCAAAAACTCAAAAATGGCCAAAAGAAGATTTAATTTCATTGTTTTTCGATAAATTCTTCACACCTATGGCTATTCATTGGTCAGAAGCATCAACATGCTCTCCTTACACTCCATTCTTGAAGATGATTATTGATAATATCACGAAAAACTCAAATTTGGCTATGAGCATCATCAACAAGTTTTTACATGAAAGTTCTTATTCTGAATTGCCAAGTTTTTATTCTCCTTTCAAACAAGAGTTTAGAATGTATATATTGTCACATGCAGAAGCTGAATACGCAATTAAGATCGTGAAGAGTGTTGTTGATCTTCCAATAACACTCAATGAATTAATCCATCATCAAGTACATCCTGATGAAAGACATAGACCTTTCTTCAGCTGTGTTTTCCCGAAAAATCAAAAAATGCTTCCATTGAAATTCAGACCTTTGTTGTTCCCTGAATCAATAAATCCTGAATATCCAGAGAACCCAGAACTCGAGAGAGTTGTACGAGAAATACAAAATTCGAAAGATGAAAATCTCAGAAATTATGCTTTATTCAGAGCAATTTCAGATATTCAAAAACAGCAAGAGAATTTTGAAGTTTTCATTTGGTTCTCTGTTCACAAGAACATCATCGACGAATGGAGAGAAGTATCTATGAGATCTCATGAATGCGCTTTGCGTCCTTTGGCCTATAAATCATTAAGTAGTTTGCAAGTCAATGGAATTGAAAATTGCTTGAAATTATTGAGTGATTCTTTCGGAACTCCTAACTTGCAAAGGAACCTTTTCATGTTCATGATCATTCCTAAGATCAATAGCACACGTGAGAAGGTATCAAAGAAAAGCAGTGGATTGACTGAATGGTGGAAGAACTACATTGAAAAACAAATCAAAACTCTTGACACCAAAAACTTTTTGGATAAAAGATCAAATATCGTCAAAAAGCAATATTGGGATGCTGTCGAATACCTTAAGAGTGTCATGAGAGTTCCAGCTTCATTGGCTTTGGATGTTATCAATCAGGCAGTTAAAAGATTGAGAAATATTTCTAGAGACAAAGAAGAATTGAACTTCCTTTTCAGCATGGCCTGCGCAATGTCTCAATTCAAACAATTGCTTGAAGTATTCTTGATTATCAATGAAATAGTTGTGAAAGACTCTCTTTTCAAGAAAATGATGTCTGATGAAGAAATAATGAACTGGACAATCATTGAAAGGTTCATTCTGAAAGTGACATCAACTGATCTTTCTATTCAGAAGAGTTACTTAAATTTACAAAATTCAATCAGAATTTAATGCTTATTAAAAGACTGTTTGTATATTAATTCTAATTAGTTTTTTATATGCTTGTATATAATTTTTGAATTGTCAAGAATAGTGAATCTTTAGTATAAGTTTTCGACATCAGAAAGTACTTATTTCGGTTCATTTCCGTCACTTTTCCTAATATCGCAAATTTTTATTCAAACTAGGAATTAAAAAATGATATTAATATCAACCAAGATAAGTTAGTTTTAAAGTATAGCCTGATATTAGAGTAATATGAGAGATATTGTATTATTATTAGGCCATCACCGGCGTGGCCCTTCTCTAGAGTACCTGATGGAGATTCGAAGGTTTCATTACCACTAAAAAAAGTGATGTTTTGTAAATCACTTCTTGCAAAACTACTCCCTCCTCCTCCACCACCTACATCCACTCCTCCACCACCGCCATAATAACCTCCTCCACCCCCTCCTGATGATGCCCATGCGCATCCATTTGCATTTCCACCCGTCAAAAAATCCCCGGAAAAGGAATCACATATTATTGCCGGATCTGTAAAATGACTTCCAGAGCCACCTTTATTTTGAGTTCCACCTCCTGCGTGGTAAGTATTATAATTAAAATCTTGTCCATTTTGTCCAATATAACCGCCATAGCCTCCAGGATTTTCTATTCCCTTCCAATAACCAACGCCACCACCAGAGCCAGCGGCGATTAGAATATTAGATAATTGACCATTTACAATAATGAATGTCGATCCGCCACCCGTGCAAGAACCAAGGTGGTTCAATCCAACATAATTATTTCCTGCGTTATAAAAAATAGAGGATATGTTTGTTGTGCTACAATATCCCTGGCTGCCAACATAAATATTTAGTTTTGTTTGGCGATCAACTTTAAAAATTGCTTGTGTGTATGCACCAAGGCCAGAGCTTCTGTTGAAATAATAGCCACCTTGGGCACCCCATACTCGGATTAGGTACCTAGCGGGGTTTAGGACAGCATACTGTGTTGTATTCTTGCATTCAAATTTAAATCGTATAAGAATGAATTAATAAGAATTCATCATTATTATATATCTTGAAATGTACTCATTTTAATTTACTGAAAATTCAAGATCTTTTCATTCTAAATTACTTGTAAAACAATAATTTCATTTGGAATTCTCTATAAAAACTAACAAAAAGCATTAAAAACTTATCTAAAATATTTATCTAAAATATAATAATTATTAAAAATAATATAAAACAATCATTAACTATTGAGATTGAACTAGAGACAACCCATAATCTTTGAGAGTGTTTGATGCAAGAATATTTTCGTTTCTATCAAACTCGTCAAGGCGAATAATGTCGTGCGTTGCCTTTAGAATTCCATCTTTTATTAGAGAAGATTCGTTAATAATCTTTGTGTATCTTTGGAATAATTTGTTGACTTTTGGCAAACAATGGGCGTTATAATCATTCATCGAGTAAGAATAAACAGATTGTGCACATCCGCATAGTGATCTTGATGCACTAATTCCTCCTTTCGTGTGCAAAGCCAATGAAAATCTGCAAAATTCAGCCAATTGTGCTGGAATTGCTTGGAAACTAGAATTTAATGATATAACTAAAGAAGAAAATGGTGGGGATGGACTTCTGAGGCATAATCCTTTCTTTAAACAGCCGAATATCTCATCTTCGGTGTTCAATTTATCTGTTTCTTGTTTTGCCAAAGTTTGTTTGAATTCGGAATTTTCAAAAAGTGACAAAATTTGATATGAATGAGAATCTCTTGATAAACAAAGGATTGAAGCTGTTCTTGAGACAATACTAGAGATCAATTGTCTATCATGCGAAGAAGTCAAGTGTTTCGAGCACAGCTGAACGAAAACAGATAATCCTTTGTGTCCTGGTAATCCGTAAAAAGAGAAAAATGTTAAAATTAAATCTGACAAATTTTGTGACGGTTTGGAAATAAATAAACGGAAAATTAAGTTACTTCCTTCTTCAGAGAATAAGCTTGCATACTTTGTAGCCCATAAAGGCCAGAAATTAACCTTAGTTGCCTTGTCAGAAAATGAGAAATTTTTCTCGTAAAAAACCGAAAAATCAGGTTTGATTTCCAAAATACTCGAAATCTTCAAAATGAAATGAATCAGTAATGGTTGATCCTGACAGTTTTCGAGTAGTTTGTCATTAAGTTCTTTTCCAAACTGGTCATCAGGAAATGCCAAACTACTTTGCAACAAAAATAAACAATCTTCTGCATCAAAAATACTTTCATCGTCATCATTGTCAGTTTTGACATCATTTCCAATTCTTTTTTCAAGAATCATTGTCAATACACTAATTACATAAAAGGATGACGCAACAGACTTCGATTCTTTGAATGTCTTGCTGAGAATTGAAGTGATTTTGAATAAAATTTTGTCAGAAATGAAGTCACAAATTCCTTGTAAAGTTTGTAAAAAGAATATTGTTAATTTTTCTCTTCCTTCCAAACAAGACATCGCAATGTGTCCTGCCAAACTTATGCTATCACTATCTGTTAGTCCTTTGAACTGCACACAGTTGAAAAGTATCTTTTGGCAGCTTGCAAAATCTTTTTCTTTGTTTTCAACACTTTTTCTAAAAACTGACAACAAAAATCTAAAATTATAAAAAGAAAAAACAATGGAAGCAAAGTTTTGTGAAACAGCCGTCAACTGCTGTAAACACCTTGAACATATAGTTTGAGATGTTTCCAGCCACAATTCAAGATTAAACACTACACGACATAAGAAATTAACATCTTTTGTTGATTCATAAATATCAGAACAACAACTAAAAACTCTAAATGGTAAAATTTTTGCAGATTGCGATAAATAAGATGAAAAACAACGAATTAATTCCTGAGAATTCTTGAAATCGGAGAACCTAAGAATATCAAGTAATCTAACAATGAATTCTCCATTTCTTTTCTCAGACAAACTGAATAATTTGAGTAAGCAATCACTCAAAAATTTCTTTGATCTGACAACACTTAAAACACTTTCTTTGTCTTCAATTTCTTCGATATTTGACAAAGGAATTAAATCTCCATTCATTGATTCAGGTCTTGAATACATTTCAACCATTTCCTGCTTGATTTGTTTCGAGTATTGTACTAATCTAAACGGTCCAAGTTTGCACAAAGTATTTGCAATAATTTTTGACTTTTTCGTGTTGAGTTTTCTCATTCCTCCGATTCTTACATTTGAACTTCCTTTTGATATTGCATCTCTCACGAGAAAAGCAAGAGATTTCTCAGCATTTATTGAGAAACCTATCTGTGCATTTTCATCTCCTCTTGGTCTAACAGACAAAGTAATTAATGTCCATTGATTTGAAGGGAAATTTGGACATAAAACAATTGATGAACTTGAAGTTCCAAATCTCGAAAAGAGAATCGCGTGAAGAGAAGTTCCACTCAAGAAGCAAGAAATTCCATCTCCATAACCTTCAGAAAATATCAAAGAGAAAATAGTACATTGCGAGCAAGAAACTTCCGAATAAACTTTGTCAAAGAAAACCCAGCAAGAAAATGAAAAACCACATGAAAAATCTGTTGTCAAATCGAATGTCAAAGCTTTGCTTTCTTTGCAAAAGATGTGAGTTATTTTAGAAATCCTTTGTTTTTCACATAATGTCATTGTTATCAAATTCAACAACTGATCTCCGTATTTGCTTTCCGCTGTCATATTTATTTCAGTTACTTTCTGCAATGTCTCGAAATTGCATCCGAAATTCATTATATGACTTAACATAGGAAAAATCAGATCATCAACAAAATCTTCTCCAAAATCAATCTTAAATGAGTTATCGTCAAATTGTAAAGTGTCACCTTTTTGGAAAACTTTAATTACTTCTAAAAGAAATAGATCAAGTCTTCCTTTATGGAACTGATAACAATTTGTGGATGAATAATCGCACAAATTTTTGTAAAATGTCAAAGAATTTTTCAAAGATTCTCCAATTAATAAAACTGGCAAAATAAAAGAAGGTTCTTCAATTAAAATCAAACCTTTTTGAGAAACATTCTTACGACTTAATAATAAACAATGACTTGCAACATTCATAGAAATATCATTATCACTCTTTGATGAATCTCTGATTCTTTGACACAACAAATATTTCTCTGAAAGTTTAAGCTCAATTAAATCACTAATAATAAATGTAATTAAAAGACTTAAACTTCCGAAAGAATCAGGAAAAGTAACATAATGGTTATAAACATATTGCGATACCTTCTTATATGATTCTAAATAAGTTGGCCTTGAACTTAAATTGTCATTGATTTGTTCAAATAAAAGTGACATTATTTTGAAAGGAAAATTCTTCTTTTCAATAATTTGAGGCAAACTGTCAGCCAAATAGGATCCATCGAATAAATGGTTTCTAAATGCTGTCAAAATGTTTGTTTGACAGTTTTCTGACAAAAGGTGACACAATAAAATAAACAAGAACTCTGAAGAAGAGAAAAATATTTCACTCTTCAAAGGTAACATAGATATTAAAATATCAAATAAATTAGACCATATTTTTTGTAAATTTGGATGACATATATATGACATTGTCACTTTTTGTAAAGTCCTGCCACATAAATCCGCAAACTTTTTTGTTATTGTATTTTCTATTATTGTCTTCTCGTTGTTTGTTATGAAATGCAATGAAATATGCAAAATCTCAATTATTAGATAAAAAGTGTCTTCAAATAGTGACAAAATGGTTATGAACAAATGAGGAAAATGGTTAATTAATGTATAAATGAAATAGCTTCTTATTTCAAATATATTTTTTGCCAATTTTTCGTCTGTTTTGAAGTAAATCGACAAATCTTCTGAAAATAAAAACGTATTTTTTGCCAAGTAAACTAAAAATGCGTCAAATTTGTCATTTTTGAGGTCAAATTCACAGACAGAACTTGAAAGACATAAAATAAATGAATAAAAAACAAGATTTTCTGTTATATTCGTTTTGCTATAGATTTTTTGATAGTTTTCCATCAATGCTTGCAAATATTCTTCTTTCATTTCTATTGTTGTGGCAGAAATTAATGGTCTTAACACTCCTAAACATTCTAAACATATTTCTGATAGATATTTCTCTTCAATTGATTCAGTTGTGACACTGACATTGATGTTCTCGTTGTCTTCATTAACAATCAAATTCAATGACTTAAATTTTTCATAAAAATCATCGTCGTTTTCTGAAAAAGTGACATCGAATTTCGTTTCCTCACAATTTTTCGGAATTCTTTCGAGATTTTCTTCTTTTTGAGTAAAGAAAATGTCAAGAGTCAATTTCGCTAGTTTAGAAACAATTAAATTGATTTTGGTGATGTCAAATTTTTCTTTGTTTGTTTTGTAAACATCACAAATTGTTGAAAAAATTAAATTGACATCTCCGTCGGTTGGAGAAATGTAATTTTCAATAATTTCCAACAAAAAGTTGTAATTTATATCAGAACTTATAGAGTTTTGTATAAAAAACATTGTGAATGATGAAAGAGAAGATATTGAAGTTCTCGCTCCAGAATATAACGATGAATTGAGTAACGAACATATGATTTCATAGAATATCGGATGTTCTGTAGTATGACTAATGTTTTTGCGTATAATATTGCATACAATTGTGATGTCATCTGTTGTAATGCATTCTAAATGGTTTTTATCAATAAATTTCGTAATAAGTGAAAACACGCAGAGCAAATCTGTTGAAAATTGTAGCTTGAGTAGTGTGCAGAGAGGACTGAAAATTAATGATGTATTTGGGTTAGTAGTAATATCGTTTTCTGGTAAATTTTGGCGGATAATTGATATGCAACAGCATAAAAATGCTAATTGCATATCATCATTAATGTCTTGTTTCGTATCAATTAAACAACATTTCGAAACAACTTCGCTGTTGAATTGAAAATGATTTGAAATCGTAAGTATCGCATCGTATAATGGCGTACCCAATAAAAGCATATTTGTTATCGTTAGAATACTTTTCGGATTAAATTGTGGAAACGAATATTGAACAGATTCCGATTTGGGTATTTGAACAACTCGTTCAAGGAATGATTTGAGCCACGCCGCATAATATTCTGCCTGCTTTGTAGGCGTGGCTGTACTCATTTTATTTCTGATGAAACTTTTTTACATAAAATCCTTTGAATTTTCGATTCTTTTCGACATAAAAAGATTTCAAATCGCATGATTAGTATTAATCCATAATTTTGAATCTGTTTATTCAATTTCCATTTTGACACTTTTTGTGGCAATTTGGGGATCAAGTGAATTCAATATTTCTAGAATATTCATAAGAGAAAATACGATAGTTAGTATGGATAACATTTTTGTCTATAATCGAGAATATATCCAAATCCTTCAGGATGCCCTAAAGACGATAGACCATCTTCAGAAAAAAAACTTTTTTTTATAAAATTTTGATGAAAGTTTTTAACGATTTCAGGTTCAATGAAGAAATTTATCCAGTCAAGAATTGTTGCCAGATACATAATGAAGGCGTTCGAAAAGAAATAATAAGATATCTTGATGAAGAGCAGAATTTTTTTTAAGGGTGCACTTACCACTTTCTGACATTCTCTCAATTTTTTTGACACCTATGCTTTATATCCTAATTTTCTATGGTAAAAAAATTAATATTTTTAGTCGGAAAAAAGTTACCTCATGTGACTGTTATACTTTTTTGCTATTAAAATAAAGATATGTTTATTATGAGAGCATATCAGAAAATGGTAAGTGCACCCTTAAGAAAAAGAATCTTTCTTTAACGTCTGTTGAAGCCAATAAGATTGTATATGCAATCAATAGTAACTCTAATAAGCACAGACATATCGTTATCATTCCTCAAGCTTCAAGAGTCCGTAGAGATCGAATATTATATTATGAATAATTTGTTAAAATAACAGAAATAAATAAATAAATAAAAATTTATTCAAATACTTACAACAAACTATGGATATATTAAGGTGTTTGAATTTGTGGGAACAAATTCTTATTGTATAATTCTGCTTTGTTTTCACCAATTAAACCTGGTGTGTAATTATTAAGTTGCCGGATACAGGTAATTCAGAAGTTCAATATTACAGAATTAAAGATCACGATCAAGATCACTATGCTAAGTATTTACTCAAAAAAGTCACACTCAATGAAGATGGATCAATACCAAGTGTCTTTGAATGCTGTCTCAAATACCTGAAATCTTTTTATAATAAGAATCTCGAATCTGACGAGGTGCCATTAATCAATCACCAAACGCAAGATTGACCTATATTGTTAAATTCCAGAAAACTAAATTTTTTTTATTCTTATAATATGAAATTTTTATTCTCTTAAGACTTCTATCTGACCAAGCGGTTAGTATTGGCCCACACATGAAGTTTTTTTCACTTCGAATTTTAAAAAATTTAAGGGTGCACACGAGAGGATCATGTAAACTTCAGAATTTAGAACCTTATTTTTAGGCATTATCTTGGCTACCTATTTAGGCTCGAAAAGCAAAAAATATCAAAAAATACAACTTGAGTCCATTATGACCCTTTCATGGAGGTAGTTTTTATCCGCTAGTATTTTCCCTTTGAATCTCTTTACAATTCGAAATCAAATTCAAACCTCAGTAGAAGAAAGGAAGAATCGACTTACTACGGTTGTAATACGAATAAATACATATATTTAATTATTTTTATTTACATAATAATTGTTTGAAGCTCATATTCCAACAAATTTTTAAATAAAAACATTCAAATGTTGAAAATGTTCATATATTTTAATAGGTTTTTGGCACTTTATTGAGGAATTACTACATACATAGTCGAACTGAACTTGATATTTTGAAATTTAAATTATTTATCAAAATTAAAATTTAACTTGAAATTTATAATTATTTAGTCATATTTTGCATAATTCTAAGTAGATTTTGTAAAAAATCAAGAAAGAAAAATTTTAACGTGCTTTATTTTTTCTTTTTTATAATAATACATATTATTATATAATTAACATATTCATAATGTTTCACCCTTTCAAAAATATAATCCTCCTCCTCTCAAATAAACGTACATACGGGTGGCCTCTTTTTTCAAAAAATTAAAATTTGAAATTTTGGGCTCAAATATTAGAGATTTTTTCAACCTTCAACGATATATGTTGTCTATATCAGACCTCCTTTCTTTTTGATACTTAACATTGTTCCTAAATCTTAGCCGTTAAGGCTGTTCTGAAAATATTTTTTTTTTGAAAAAATTCGAAAAAAATTCTTAAAATTCAAAAATCCCTTAATTCCTGAGGATTTTGGAAAAAAGTTTTTACATGAACATGTGTATATTATATGAAGTATATTGATAAGGTAAAAATCAAATTTTATTGCATATTCATCGAGAAAATAAACTAACGAATCCCTCAAAATTGAGAGGGTAATCCTCCTCCTCTCAAATAAACGTACATACGGGTGCACCCTTAATGATATACAGAAAGTATTATTCTAACATTTCATTGTATTTTATTACTTTCAATGTTATTTTTTTGAATAATCAAAAAGCAGTTCATCAAGCTATTGTTTTGTTAACAAAAATACATACAAAAAATTAAATGTATGCGAATATTGTAGACTTCAGAAAATGATCTACTTTAAGTGGTTGTCTGCCATTTTCTTGAGTTCATGCACAAACAACTCCATTTTTGAAAAATCCAAATATTTCAAAAAAAATGCATGAATTCAAAAGTTTAGATCACGTCTAGTCATTACCCAATAATAATTTGGTATTTTAGTTTTTGAGATATTCATTTTATTATACGCATTATTCAGAAAATTAAATATATTTGTGAGTTAAAACGGAAGAGATAATAAATATCTCCATATTAAGGAAAAGCAAATTTTAGTGAAAAAATCAAGTTTAGTATTTTGCGTTTATCTCGTTATGCGATGCATGTTTTCACGATCTGACAGCAGAAATCGAATCAGCAGAGCCTGGAGAATCAGATTACGCGGGGAAAATAGGTTTTGAACGCTTAGATAGGGATGTAATGAGACTTTATGTGATGTGGTATATAAATATAGTTTTTGCGATAATATGTCATGAGATCAGAATATGAAGGGAGTATGTATGGGTTATTGTCACATGTTTATATGTGGGAATAGCTCAGTAGAGTCTGTAAAATAGTTCGGTACACGCCATAAGTTATATAAAGCACAAAAAATAAAAAAATAAATATTAATTAGGGAGAATTATATTTTAACTAATATATTTAAATAGGATATTCTGTAAATGATAGTATATGACAAACAAGGTGGGATAACACACTTTTGTCGGTCAAAGTTTTGCAATCGTATTGTGAATGCAGAAGATTGTTCCATTCTGGGAGACATGCAGAGGCAATGTCTCCCAGAATGAGACACTGCGACCGAAAAGAGTGCACAATACACTCTTGTCGGTCAAAGTTCCGCGTTCAAGTTATGAATGCGGAACATTGTTCCATTCTGGGCGACATGCAGAGGCAATGTCTCCCCACCTGAGACCGTCATACCAACACCAATTTATTTTATTCTTTAAATTGTCATACCATTCAATTTTTTTTCAATCTTAATCCACTTTTTCGATTCTTCTTTAATTCATTTTATCTTTCTCATAGAACATCGATTCCATTTACAGACATAAAATCACTAATCGGCTTTTTCAATACTCAAAATTCATATAAAATCTTTGTTATTTTTCTCTCAACGCTTATTTTATTAAATTTACATATTTTATCTCACATATCCATCTTCACATATATTGAATCTCAACACTCATCTATTAAAACAATATATTTTCGCTTAATCTCATATTATTCATTAAACAATCTTTCCTATTCTTATTTCTAGTTAACCTACCAATATATATATAGAATATATGCCCAATTACATATTCAGATACATTAAGCTCAAGAAATTCTTCTAATATTATTCTCCTATTCATCATAAAATCATATTTATTCTCACATCACAATTCTATCAGTTCTCCAATATCATATCATATTGGTAACATCACATATATCTCTTATAATATCACTTAAATATGTATTTTTTTTATTAATTATATTTAATTAGTTCTACATTCTATTATTATAGAGGCTTGACAAACTCATCAATAGTTAAAATCAAAATCTATGCAGAACTTTGAATCTAATGAAAATTACATTTCGATATCTTTTTGCAAGCTTAATTTTTTGTATTATCTTAAAATACATTTAGGAATGTTATGTACGTATTGAATTCAAATTATAACGCAGTAATATGCAACTCATCTTGAGATTCACATTTCATTTTCACAATTATTGCATATATACATCAATAACATATTGTACTCATATAGCCACACGACTCTAAACTCAATGACATCAAATAATGCTTCTAATATTTAAAATAATTTTTGCATTTTTGATTCTCAGCTTAACTTCTATAAATGTCACCAAAACATTTCATTCCTACACAAGAAATATTATATTTAAATAAGCGTTTATTACCATTGTTACTCACATCATATTAATTCATTTTTGTAATTTTTTAAATAAATGACTGGAATCATAAACCCTATGTACCCATATCAACATGTTAAAATTTCAAAGTCTGAAACTTAGTATACATTGAGTTTCATGAAATCAGATAATCTCGTAGATTTCTTAAATATTATATATTGCTGGCCAATAATGATGCAGCATGATTCTCCATCATATCAGCATTCTAAACATATCTTTATTTTGTCAATTGGCATAAATTAAGAGTGCTTTTCAGGCGATAAATGGCATTTTAGATACCTGGGTAGGGGGTCATGAAAAAGTTGCAAAAGTCAAAAATTGAGGGTATGAGATAATTATAATAATATCTAATTCTATAAGGGTAAAAAGGAATATTTTAGAACAAGCATCATATATAAATAATGTTTGTAATCCAAATTTTTATTATTTTTATTTTTGGCAAATTGTTTTGTTGAAATCATATCGGACTTCATTTTTTTTTCCGCAACATGATGGTTTGCACTAGGATTGCTAATTGCACTGGATATCAAGATGTTTTTGGCAATTTGTAAAATTATATTAAGAATAATTTGTAAAATTATATTAAGAATAATTTGTTAAAATAACAGAAAAAAACATTTTATTCAAATACTTACAACAAACTATGGATATATTAAGGTGTTTGAATTTGTGGGAACAAATTCTTATTGTATAATTCTGCTTTGTTTTCACCAATTAAGCCTGGTGTGTAATTATTAAGTTGTCCAAGAACGCCTTTCTTTTCATCTGGTCTCCTGTTGATCTTAAAGTTCAGTGCAACTGTAAGAAGCATCAAACAAAGACATGTTAAGTAATATGTTAATCTTGAGTATGATTTTCCTTCATTTCCTTCATAAGCATCATTATATTGATTGTTTTGAATGATAACAAGTGATTCCGCATATTGTTTTTCGTCTTTCTTCACAAGTTCAATTCGAACTTTTTCTGGGACTTCTATTGGTATTTGCGGGATCTGGCGTGAGAGATCAAGTTCAACAGACATGCCGAAATGACAATTTGAAATCGTTGGTTTATCTGTTGGTCTCGATATAATCGAAATCGCTTGATCTTGAGGTAAATCGAAAACTGATTCAGAAACAGTAAGTTGGAATATAGAGTTCCAATGTATTGATGTAACTTTCGATAATTGAAAATTGCAAGTAAATATTCCGCAAATTGCAAATTTCAATGAATGAATAGCGTCAACTGTCATTCCTATAAAAGTAACTAGTGTAAATTCTGATTCGCCGTTATTTATATACCAAGCTCCGCCACTTTGTGATCTAGAATCGTAATCAATGCATTCAGAAATAGAAGGAGCATCGCAATTCATTAGTGCAACTGTGCCTGAGTAATATATCGCTCTGTTATATGTAAAATTAGTGTTTGCAAGTTTCAATTCGAAAATAACAGAGAAGCAAATCGCTCCTCCAAGATATTCGGCAGTATTATTGGAAAAAACGCAAGATGTTATCGTAGAATTTGAAGCCCTCTCTGCCCTGATTGCACCTCCGGACGATTTCGCAAAACAACAAATAAATAAGCAATTATTTATTTCAACTGGACAAACTTCGGAGTAAATTGCGCCACCTTCGTGATTAGAATTTGTGGTGGAGCAATGAACGAACGCAGTGTGATATAATTTCAGAAAATTGTGTTGATCTCGAATTGAATTCTGTGAAATCGTATAATTATCTTGTGAAAGTTTAATGGCAGTATCAATTACATTACGAAAATTTGATTTCTCTATTGTAATAGATGGAAATTTGCCTGATGAAAATATAACATTTGAAGAAATTCGAGAAAACTGTGAGGAAAGAATATCTAGATTCTTGTGTGACCGAACGCTAAAAATTGGCGATGCAGAAATAGAATCATACAATAGAAGTGAACGAATTGTATGATTCATTTCAAAAAAAAAATATCAGATAAAAACTTTGTATCTTTATTTTCCATTTTAGGAATCAACAGAATATTGTAAGTAACTTAAGTCTGCTGCTCAATCTACAACCAATCCAAGTGTACTTATGGTATAAATATTGATCACAATATTCAATAATAAGATTTTGATTATTTTCTTTAAATAATAAAAACGGATATTAAGGAGTTGAAAATCAAAAAATTTGGGTGTATGATGCATCTGGAAAACAGTTCTTCATAAAATGGATAAAAATCTAGCCAAGAAATAAATTGAGCGTGCTCGCTCGAGTTTGAAGCTAAATCTAGTTCCCTTAGGCGGAAATATCTGAAGTAATATACTTTTTTAAAAAAATATTCTGTAAGTAGGCTAGAATATGATATTCTTTCTGATTCACTTTCTTCAAATAGTATCTGAAATGTATTGTTATCGTTGGAAAATTCTAATGCATAACTTGGTTTCACACTTGACCAAGGATATTTCTCTTCGTGAATTGTTAAACTCATTACTATGCCAGAAATTGGATAGGATGTCTTAGGGTCAATAAGAAAGTAATTTTCTGCCTCTGTATGGATACCAAATAAATTCTCATTATTTCTTTCACATAAATTTAATAATTGATTTTTTCGATAGTCTAAATATCCTTTTTGATACTGTGTAATTGATATAATGCCTTTTTCTACAAGTCCTGGACCATAAATTGATAAAAGATTGTTGAATATGGACGACCTTTGATCAATGATTGAAAAAAAAATTCTGAGACAGCTAAATATTTCCTAAGGGTATTCTTTCTAAATTATTGCACCTCCAAATAGATATATTCAAGGTAAACGCATTAACATAGAAATAAAACTTCATATGCATCCTTGCTGAATCGTTCATGAAGCATTTAACTATCTTCAAGAGTAAGATATCTTCGATAAAAAATAATAACGCCGTTTTCAAAAGATAATACTACAACTCATGATTTAATTTCATTGTGATGATAAACATACACACAGACTCATACCTTAAAATTTAATATTCTGCATCTCACGAAATTACGCTCAGAATCCTCTGCTATTATAATAAAATGCTTCACCAGTGCACACTATTGTACCCCTTGAAATATCAGGTCCAATTTATCGGGCCGTTTTCGAGAAAAAGTCATTTTAAATCTATTACTTCTACCTTTCACTAACCTGGCTTCCCTTTATTTACAAAATAAAGAGAAGACTTATAAATCTAGGCTGATTTAAGCTGAACCATCTTATCAGATAGGTTCAAGATCCAAATAAATGAAGCAATACCAACTTTTACGATAAACATAAATATTTTAGTAAAGAATTCACTTTCCTTTGATATGTCAAGAAAAATTTTAGAGTGTCATTAGTTAAATATTACAATCAAACGATTATACAAAAAGTATTTCACGAATTTCTAATGTATTTAGACTCTAATGTTCAATTTCTTGCTTGGTCATGTCTAGTAATCCCAACTTCTTAAATCTTTTTTACGTAAAACCTTTCTTATATCTACAAAAAAAATTATTTCTTTTCTACTTAGATTTTACACTAAATTCATTATACCTTGTTAATACCAAGTAAAAGCCTAATAAAAAAACCCTTAAAACAAGCTAAAAATTTTTCATTATAAAATCTTAAGTAATATTGCGGTATTTATGTTGAAACTATAGGGCTGTACAAAATCGAGAAAAACATTGCCGTGCGGTAATATAGGGTCAACAAAATCGCGCCTCGGCGGCTCCGCCGCCTTGGCACTATTAAGTGCGCATTATATTTAATATGTCCTTCTTTTTTTCCTTTTTTCTTCTTCTTTTCCTTTCCTTCTTCCTCTCCTTCCTCTTCTTTCCTTCTCCTTCTCTTTTTACAACAACGTCGAAGATCTTCGAATTTGATTGTTGGAAAAGCATCTATTTCAGATAAAGGATGCCTTTCTCACAGTCAACATACGAGGGTCCTGGCTGAAACGTTCTCAAAAAGCCTGAGATAGTAATTCTCTGATCACTCATAGCTGGGCAGGTAGTCATTGCTGACAATACCTGTCTTTATGCATGCACGCTTTCATGTATATGGGTTTACACTATCAATTCGCAAAGTTGTTCCGAATTCTTCCAAAATGGAAGGACCCGAAACAACTTTGCTTGTTAACGATACAGACGCATTACTTTGCATTGATACTGTGCTGAGTTGTGTAGAAAGTTTGATTAGAGTTGTTTTGTTCTGGTATCTCTCATCTTCTGATGAGAGAAATCAAAGCAACACAACTCTAATGAGTTTGTTTTCACTCATTTGTATGTAGGTTTTTAGTTCGATTGGAGCTGCTTCATAATGAGATCTCTCATCAATTGATGAGGGAGATCATAACAAAGCAGCTCTAATGTATATGCTCGTATTAACCGGGTTGTAATGCGTTGTAACGTCAGCTTGTAGTTCGTTTGGGGCCACTTCACATTGAGATGAGAAGAAATGATTAAAGGACTCTGAAAGGCTTTAGCCGTTGATGTTGTAATCGCATTACTTGGAACTAGCTGGATGCTAAGCTGTGTAGAATGTTCGATTAGAGCTGTTTTGATATGATTTTTCTCATCATAAGATTGGAGGAATCATAGCAAAACAACTCTAATGGGTTTACCATCATCTACTTGTATGTAGATGTTTGGGAAATTGTCTTGTTAATCGATTTTCGAGATGACTTTCAAATGCTATAATCAAATGACAAACAAGTCTAAGATTTCTCGACAATACATCAAATCATGATGTTTGTAAGTGCGATGAGATTAGAGTTTTTGAAGGAATGACAAGAGAAGTAGGGAAGCTCGGCATTCGCCGAGCAAATTAAAAATTAACGTATGGATTAAATTTTAAGAGGAATTCAATTTTAATTAAAAAAAAAAAAAAAAAAAAAGGTATTGGGGCTTCCAGGCACTACGTGCCCTCTAGCCCCGAAGATGTTTAGTATAAAACCGCTTTTTAACTTCACTTAAAATGCCACGTAAGCTACGTAAGAATATACGTAAGAGGAAGAGAGCATTGAAACATCCAATAGTAAGACTGACACCACAACAACAGTTGCAACAACAAATGCTGAATGACCCCACTATGTTGCAACAAATGTCAAGCAATCCTATGCTTTTAAACCGAGTTGTTGGTGCACAGAGTGGAGGTTTAAGAGCGGCACTTTTAGCGAAAATGGCAGGCTATGGTGGAGCTGCAGACGGAACAGCCTATAACCCTCAAAGTCAAATGAATTTGAGTTCACTCAAAAATCAAATAACAGATGTCAAAAAGTCAAACATAGACATACAGAAGCAAATAAGTGAAAACGAAAAGAAACTAGAATATGACAGACACACAAAGAAACTCAATGAGTTAAACGTAGAGAAAAAGAAGAAAGAAGAACAACTGAAAGAACTAAGTACAGAGGAATATGCGAAAAAAGTGTCAGAAAAAGCAGCAGAAGTAGCAAAAATGGAACAAGATGTCATAAATTTGAAAAACCATACTACTCAATATAAAATACTGAAAGATGAAGAGATAAAACAAAAAGCCCTGAAGACATATATGGATAGCGATGAGTATAAAAAAGAAGTTGAAGCAAATGTAAAGGCAGAAAAACTTTTACAGTTGCAAAACCAAACCGTACAGTATGAAAACTTAGCACAAGAAAGTAAAAATAACGACGCGGCTATGCAAAAGGCAATGAAAAGCGCAGAATATATAAAAGCTAACAATGACTGGTTAGATGCCCAAGCCAACGCTAAAGCAGCCCAACTCATAGGGTCAATAAGGACAAAAATACAAGCGGATGAAGATAGTTCAAATGAAGCTTTAACAAATGCTGACTTTAAGAACGCTTTCGAAGCTCTTCATAGTAAGGTGAAACAAGTGAACGACTTCTCATCTGGAAAGAAACTGAAGTCTGAAGGTTTCGACAAAGAGTTAAAAGAAGTAGCACAAAATATGACGAAAATAACAGATGCAGCAACGAGACAGGCAGTTCAAAGTGCCTATGACGCCGTTAGAGCAACTGTTGTGAAAAGTCAAGAAAAAGAGTTACAACAGACCAAAACAGACCTAGTAAATGCTTTCTTAAGAACGAAAAGTCAGGTAGGACATTACGCTGCAGATGGAACATATGTGCCAGCTGGTGGAACTTATATACCACCAAACCCTCCAAGAGAAGCACCTGCACCAGGACTACCTAGAACATTTACATCGTCACATGGACACAGACACAGGCATGCACCAAAACCAACACAACAACCAACACAACAACCAACACAACAACCAACACAACAACCAGCACAACAACCACCTCCACAACCAGCACAAAACCAACACAACAACCAGCACAGCAACCAACAGTTCAAAACCCTGCACAACAACAACCACAAACAGAGCAAGGACATAAAAGAAGTAGAGAACAAGGAAACCAAGAATTCTTAAAAATGCTTAAAGAAGAGTGTGGTTTCCCAGATACTGTTGACTTTAGTGACAGATATAAGAGAAGCTATTGGAAAGTTCAAGGATGGAAATACTGACCCGAACCTATTTAGCTTTATGGCTCAGCACCAAAACGGATATAATCTCAAACCTGGAAAATACAAGCTCGCTAAGGGATATGATTTAATAGCATATCATCCAAATGACATGGATGAATTTACTCCGAGATATTTGATGTCAGAGCTAAATGACAATTCAACTTTCGTCATGAAACGCGTAAAAAATAGAGACGGAACGAAAGAACAAAAGCTTATGAATGCGGATGACGTAGATAGGGAAATTGTTGAAAACGGTCTCGGAATATATGAAATGCCAGCAGATGAGGTACAAGAAACTCCACAGGAAGAACTAGTTCAGATACAACCAGACATGGAAGAATAGTTCAGCAACAACAGCTAGAAGAGCCTGAAGGAAACGAACAAGTCACTCCTTTGGAAACTAACTTCACAGAACTAGATGAAGATTTGGAACAGCCGAAAAATCTTG